TCATATCTTCGTTATTATAGTATTCACAGATTTGAAATAAAGACATTATACAGGCACTTTTTTACGTAGAATTTAATAATGTAGTTAACAATTTTTTTCAGTTGTTTGTTTAGCCGTAAYAAAATAAACTTGTATTTTTTTAAATGGRAATCATAGATGGCKATGTCATTTTTAAAAAGCTTGTTTTTTTCTTATCGAAAAAATATATATTTGTAACAAATTATTATAATACATTTTTAGCAAAAAATTATCTTTGATTTTTGTTCGCAGTTGGCCATGAAAAAATGTTGCATCTTCAACTAAAAGGATTTAAACTATATTATATTCAACCAGTGTCACTAATGAAAGAGTTTTCTAAGTACTAAGTAATGAAAAAAATTCAAAATAAATTGTAAATCAACTTATTGGCGACTAATAACATTTCTTTGTTTTTAAACAAGCATTACCATTGCAACTTCTAGTGATACATAAAGTGTTGTAAAAAAAGCCACTTTAATTCTTCAATAAAATATATTTTATATGACACAAAAATGACGATATGGCTATTCAAATACCCAAATTCCGTCTATGTGAAACGTTATCCTACCTCCATTAGATCATCAAAAAAAATGTTTTTTCTAATTGTGTTGACTGTTGACACATTTGTTTTTCCTATTTTTGGATTTTTTAAAATATGTAATAATTTTGTTCTGAGGCGCTCGCATATTTGTTCAATGCTTCTACCGTGTCGTATTTTTTAAATCTTTATAATTTTATCTATTTTTTCATCTATTTTACAGTTCACTTATTGATTATTATTTACACATTTGGAGTGAAATAGTTTTTCCATGGCCAACTATTATAAAACAAAATATGTATTTCACTTTTTAAGTATAGTTATAAAAAAATATTCTGTTACAAATATATATTTCTTAGATCAGAAAAAAATAAGCTTTTCAAAATTGCCATAGCCGCCTATGATTTCCATTTAAAAAAATACAAGTTTATCTTATTACGGCTAAACTAATAACTGAAAAAAATTGTTAACTACATTATTAAATTCCTCGTAAAAAAGTGCCTGTATAATGTCTTTATTTCAAATCGCGTATCTTCTATAATAACGAAGATATATTTTTTTTTTTAGATTTCGCCAAAATGTCAACTTTTGTCTGTAAGTCGAAAACAAAAGACGATAGCGGGATGCGGTTTTAACCAATATTATTTTCTCAAAAAAAGAGCCCCAGAATGTATTACTCGTTTTTGGCTAAACCTCTTAGTTTCGGAGATTCTCTATTCGGACATCCAAAATGCAACACCCTGTACATCTCAGCGCTCAAGTAATTTTTTGCACTTCATATTTGTTTCAGCTCATTTTGTTCCTTTTTCAAGCCAATACTGTTAATATACTACAAGCGTGCCGTGTGAGTAAGAAAAAATTTCATGTAAATGATGGAAATTACAATTTTTAAAAACTTATCTGATATTAGTTAGAACTTCTGCTGACATTTCTTTAAAAAAATGAGAACTTCTAGAGTAAACTATTTAAAATATTATTATTTTGAACACGCATAATATGAAAATTTTCGCTGTAAAGGATTTATCCTCGGCGAAAAAATCTTTTAAAATAATAATAATAAAAAAACTGTAATGAGCAAAATATGAACATCCAATTTCGTCCAAGCTTGTATGAAACTTCCCCTAAATCAATCGCAAAGTTCGATTATTGCTTTTCTTTCAATTTGAGATTATTCCCAAGTTGTCATGACCGCTTTAGTTAAACCTAGGCATTAGCCGACGTCACATACTCCTTGGGATATTTACCCGTTGGTCGGGGATTAACCCGCAGTGTCACAACCTGTATCACCAAAATCCTTGGGTGTTTATTTAGTGGTAAACAATCTGTTGCAGGGTCCGACAGGGGTGCGCGGATTTCCGGGATTTCCGGTTTGTTTTATTTTCATTTGTTATGGCTGCTAGAAAGGTGGCGGTGGTTAACACTTTTCATGCGACTCTTTATGCAACTCTATTTGCTCGCGTATAGTGAGTTGTGACTTGACGCGCCCTCTGTATTTAATCGCGTTGTGTTTACAAGTACAGTTATCGTACTTATCGACTTTTCGTTTATTTACAAAAGTAAATTTCGTATCGGATTTAACTCGAGGCTGGGTAAACACAAACAGCTCACACATTTTCAATTAAAACTGGATTAAACTGTTTCATAAAAACACATTTCATTAATATCGGTGATTAGCTAACACAGTCTTTGCACATTTTGTTTTTGATCACAATTTTGTTTAATTGGTTGCATCGAGTTGCGTGTATAGAGTGTTCTGTAATACTGTACCGAAACAACTTTAGTGTAGCTTGTAGTAGCCAATTAATATTAGTGCTTCCAATTTAGTCCTTAACTTTCATTTCCATTCTAACCCTCATTATCATACGACACTACTAACACTCTGTATATTGGACCTAGTGTTTAAAATATTATTAATTGTTAATTTTAATAGGGGCCTATTGGGTTAGACGGTCCGAAAGGCGATCCCGTAAGTAGGATTTTGCTCATTTTTTACTGTAGGGGCTTCTCGAGCTTTAAACGAAATCTACAAAAAAAAAAATGAAACACATTGTTACCTATATTCACAATTTTCCTAACGTAGAAAATTAATTTAATTAATTATTTTTCTCTCTAAATCTGAACAATTTTCAATTTTTAGTAAAGGTTCAATAAGCTGCTATAGTATTTTACCTCGCCCTTGATAAATTTCTTTGAATACTTACCAATTTTTGTTTACCAGGGCCGGCCTGGCGATAAAGGGCAGAAAGGCGATGTCGGTAACCCCGGTTTCGACGTGTTTCAAGCAGTCAAAGTGAGTATTTAAACCAGGATCTAAAAATACGCTCTAAATTATGAAAAATAAATTACAACAGGGTTTATTTCAAATTAAACAAATGTATTGTTAACACAAACCACTAATTTAATTTTCGTTTTAATTTTGCTTCGTTTTAGCAGCCTGGAAGGGTAAGTATTTTTATTTTTTATTTCGTGTTGTGTAGATATTTGAATTTTATTATTTTATCGAGGGGCAATGTAAGAGCTTTCCACACAGAAAAATGTTTCTTTTCTAAATTACACTAATCGATTTTAAGCTAAAAATAAAAGATGCATTTTCGCCAAATTTAACTTTCCACTTTCGTAAAGTTAATATGAAAATATTCTTTTCAGCGGATTTATAAATTAATTTAGCTTGTTGGAAAAAACAGAATTTTTTATTACGAGCGTTCGCTGAAACTTCACGTAATTAATCGCACATTAAATTCATCTTATGGGTATGTTGGCACCAGGGAAACTTTACCTCTAATTATGATGCTTTGTTACAACTTCTGAAAGCAAACATAAAATGTAATGTGTTTATTAAATTTTGTTCGGAGTACAAATGTAGCTTGTTGATGTCGATTTATAAAAAATGTACACACAAAAATCCATTTTGTTGGTTTTACCAACCAAAAAGAAAAAAAATATTTCTTAATTATAATTTTTATATATCGATTTTTTTATCTTCTTTAGTTTTTTACTTTTATTCGTTGCTAGCTACACTTAAAAATTGAGTAATACAGGGAGATTTTAACAGTTGTTCAGAATTTTCAAAAGGTGATAGTAGAGAACTAAAGATACAAAAATAACTCAACTTGGGATATCCGAATGTTTTTTTGGTTTTTGACAATTTGTTTAGTCGACGAATAATTTTAAATTTGGCACGCAACCTTAAACTTTATCAACAAAAACTGTAAACAAATATGATCTCTGATGTTATAGAGCGTTTCAAAATAATCGACATCTCGACAGGTCATGGAAATTGAAATTTAAGGTGGCAATATTTGTACTTTGAGAATTGTAGGTTGTTTTGTACTATTGCAACCACTGGTTGAAGATACGTCATTTTTATAATGTATGACATTTGTCGTTTTTACTTAAAAACCACTTGGTTTTTGCGCTTTTGCTCTCCTATTTCCTTTTTGTTCCACGCTTTTTCCACATTCCTTTTGTACAAATAGGATATGTAATTTTCCCATCTGAATTCAACTGAAGTGTCATTTTTTATGACGTATCCCGATCTAAAGATTGTTCACATTTGTAACTTTTTTGGAATTAAAATTGAAGTCTAGTTTACACTCTTAACGCCTACCGAGATGTCAATCATTATAAAACGTCCTATAGTTGTTTAAGATCCACATTATTACATTGTTTTAAAAAAATTAAGTCAAAATTAACAACCACAGAGAGAGGGGTCTCATAGTAAAAAATAATTAAAAGGTAAAAATTTTGCATCATTTTTTTGTAGAAAATACCACGCAATTTCATTAAGTACCTCAAATATCACCTATTACATCAGAAACTACTATACAATCAATATTATTTTCACGTATGATATACTTATTGTCAACGTATACTCCTAGCCTTGACCAATTTTTATTTCATGCGTGAAATGGTACTTTATTTTGGTGAAACATCAAAACTGATGCAACTGTTTTTTTAACAACTGTATCTATGTTTTATATTTCCCTATTTTTTTAATTCACTTATTAATTGTATTTAGTATTTAGTATTTTTTATTTACCTTGACCTACTTGATAAACTATGACTTTTTTAATAATTTTTTTATTTAGGCCATAAAAACTCACAAGTTCTTTAGATTTTGTAAAAGTGTTGATCATTTTTGAATAGCGTAAAAATTGTTTGATTTTCCAGACATTTGTATCACTTTTCTCGCTTGGAAGCAACTAAGGAGTCTTGTTAGTTTGAAAAATATAGTAACATTTTTATTAAAAAAGCCAAGCATAAGATTTTTAATAACGTTTTGTTCATTATTATTACTCTACGCTGCGGAAAATATTATTATAATTTTGATTAAATATTTCATTCTGTGCAGTTTAAATTTTTTTTGTCTTTTCTTTGTGAAATTTTGCTCCTTTTTTTTTCATCACTTTTCTTTTTGAAGAAGACAGAGTTTCCCCCGCTGCCAAAAGGTGTTAGTCCCCTACATAAAATCAAGTATCTACCCACGCACCACCCCACCTTTTCCTCTTCTTTATTGAACCCCGTTTACGTAAACTCTTTCTTCCAGGGTTTAAAAAGATCGGTAACGACGTTACGAGGAGGCACCCTGGGCTATGCTGAGATCGTAGCTGTCAAGGTGAGCAAAGAGCACCAGCGACAGCACCATCGTCTCTTCAAAACATATCTTAGCACTTTTGTGTCGTATTTTATTGTTTCTAGCTAGGTGCATGGAGGTGTTTACCTGTAGCCGCACCCTCTAACCTGTTGCGCACCCGACCCTAACTCCTGCTATTGTAGTGTTGTACTCACAAATAGTCTAATTTTTAGGGGCTTCAAGAAAGGGGGCATAACATTTCGGGCGAAACTATCATCACACTCAAAGTGAGTCTAACATTCGCGATTGGTTTTTATTTTCATATCAAGGAATTGCCAGATTTGATGTGGTCGCTGTCTGGCAATCTCTTGTTGCTTCCGATAATTTCACTTCATCACTTGCTTTCAAAGTTGGGTGGACAGTCGGTCGGATTTAGGGCCGATTTATGGGTGTCTAAGACGGTAGGTGCTCATGAGGGGTCGTAAATTTCCGCCGAGGCTGTACACGGGGGTGGAATAGTTCAGTCATGCACAAAATTTAGGAAATTAAACGGCTTTTAATATACAAATACAGAAATGAAATTTTTATTGGATGAACTAAGTTTTCAAAAATATGTATGAAATTAATAAAATTCAGTATTTCAATGTAGGATGGCTGGTCTTTTCGTTTTCTTTTGCAAATTAGTGGAAAAAATTAGAGTTTTTGACTTGATTCAAAACAATTTTTCGTTCCAAAAAAATTTGTTTACGAGTTACAAATTGTGTAAAATTACATTTTGTAGCAAAAATATTAAAACTTCCTCAATTATTAAAACTAATTGAAATACTAAGTGCAAATTTGCTGATGTTTTTATCAAGAAATTATGAGTTTTCATGAGGAATAGTCAGGTAAAAACTCTTTTTTCTTCAATTAAATAGCATAACTATTATCATATTCACAAAACAAATAGCTATGAAATGACCAGAGGAAAATATGTCATTGGTTCAGAATTAGAATTTAATCGGAATTTTGAAGCAACCATTTAACGACTTGTTAATTTCTTGTTCTCTACATATTTAAATTATTTTTCAGAAAATAAAACACGAAACAATTAATCTCACTACACTTTTTTTACTGAAATGTGACGTTGCCAAATTAAACAAAATTCTTATAAAAAATTTGAAATATACATCCCTTGACCTAAATTTTTCTGATCTTTAGTATCAATAACAGAAATAAAACAGAATTATTGTGTAAATAAACAGAGCTTTGTTCTATCATTTGGTTTAATTGTACAACATTTAAAGATTGTCAGGGATGTAAAATTACGAGAATCACCCTGTACATGATACTAGTGTACTTAATAAAAATAAAATTGTACCTAATTGTATACATTTTTTTTTGTATTTTTTGCCTTGTCATATTTTCTTATTTATTTTGAATCTGTTTCAACGCAACTCCAAAAAGAAAGTTAAAAATTTGTTAAGATACTTAATTCATGTTTTTTTATTTCATTCTAGTTGAGGTTATAAACGTTCATAAAGGGGTTGTAGGAATAGTCGAGAACAGAATTTTTGACTTAAGGGCGGATTCGAAGAAGTAAATATACTCAAGTCTCTGAGAATTGAGGCACAAAGGGACACCAAGAGGGTACCGTTTTATGATTTCTCACTAATAGGTACCTCGAAAACGGTACATGTAACGAAAAAAATGGTTATATACAAAATTAAAGCTTATGAAATTTCCTATAAGACGGTTTTTTCGATTTTTTTGTACCTTACCTCTTTTATACGTGGTGCCAAGAAAATGAAAAAAGTGAGGTTATGTGTTCTTTTTTGTTTGAAAATGGACAGATTCGAAGAAAATTTTTACTTCTTTGTTCTCGTCGCCTATTCGTGTTGTGTTTGTATTCTTTGTAATCACACAGGACTAACATTTAAAATGTTATTTCCCAATCAAGGAAACGTAAGGTGCAAATTCTTGGGTCACAATATACTCACAATAGAAAACGCATAAGGGGCACGCACAACATTTTCATTTAAAATTGCAAAATTTGCAACGAATGCAAATCCCAATTAGCCAATTTCACTATTTTTGAATGAAACACTAAAGTCTAAGGTGATTGGTTTCTCCATGGTTACTCACATTTTCATTCTCCATGGTTACTCACATTTTCATAATGGCCGATCTCAAGTGAACCAATCACATCATTGCATTAATTTTTCAATGAATACAAAAACCTAAAGTGATTGGTTTTTTACATTATAATAATGGCCGACCTTAAACGGTCCAATCACAATGCTACAACTTTTACAACAATTAATTCATTAATAGTTTTTTTTTTGGTTTAATTAGCTAGAAAATTTCTCGAAAACTATTATCGAAAACGATAAAACGACACCTTGTTGCTCCCCAAGTACGACTTTTAGTACGTTTACTTCCTAACTAACTAAAAAACAGCCCTGAAGAAGTACAAAATTCGATTTTCGATAATGCATTTAACAACTTTTTTGTTGACTGGACTTGACACAATTAGGTATAACAATAGTATGAAAAGTTTCTGTTTGTCATACGTCCGGACAAATTTTCAAAATTATTTTTTAAGTTTTCAAATGGTTTAACTTGTTTCATCCAATGTTTTTCTTTTTTCAATAATATTTTGTTAAATTTTTAATGACTGGTCTAATCTGTAGTGTTGCCGGTTGTATAAAAAGTCAAAGCCATTAAGCACATTGAAAACTTTAGCAACCAGCAATCCACAGCACCGTTTCATCCACTTCATTCACTTTACCACCTTCACAAAATTAACATACTAACTTACCTCATAACTCACTCTCCGTCGTGGTTTAAATTATCTCAGCACATGCAGCATTCATACTTGAGGCAATCTCGTTTGTTTTACCTAATAACCCACACCTGATGATCATAAAAGTCTTAAAGTAAGTTCACTAGTTCCCTGTGTCATGTAGCACTTGTAGATTTGTGTCAGTGTTTGGTAGTTTATTTTTTAACTTTAAAAAAATTCAACAATAACAAGACTGTCTAAATGTAGGGCGAACCAGGCGAGCCGGGTCCTCCAGGGCCTCCGGGTCCTCCAGGCTCTGAAGGTCTTCCAGGACATGACGGACGACAGGGAATTCCGGGCGAACCCGGCCCTCCGGGCGAAAAGGGCGAACCTGGGCCCATGGGCCCCATCGGACCTCCCGGAATCGACGGATTGCAAGGACCGAAGGTATTTTCATGTTTGTTGTGTCACGTTCATGTGTCATCGTTCATGTCATACAGGGGGACAGGGGGGTAATTGGCATGATGGGAGCGCCGGGATTTCCGGGACTTCCGGGCCATATGGGTCTTCCAGTGAGACATTTTCCATTTTATCACAATACAAATTTCATTTTTTATTCATTAGGGAATTCCGGGACGCAACGGGACCAAAGGCGAATCTGGGCCTCGAGTAAGTCCCAAAAATTGGACTTTTTGGATTTTGGTCTCTCTGTCATAACTTTCATCTCATTCACTAACACTAAAATAAGTTTCTGGGCGGATTTTTTAGATTTGTTTTCTGCTTTCAGGGCGAAAAGGGCGACAAGGGTGAGAGAGGACTTACGACGACTGTCAATGGGGAGTTTCCAACAGGTTTGGTAGAAGGGCCACCAGGACCACCAGGACCTCCTGGTAATTTTTTTACTTTTGTTTCTCGAGATTGAGGAGTTTTTTGTGACTAAATTGTCAACTTTGATAAGGTGAAAAAGGTGAATCCGGACCTGTAGGCCCCCCTGGTTTACCTGGCGAAAAGGGCGCCCGAGGCCGACGTGGAAAACGGGTAAAGTACCTAAAACTCCCTCTCCACCTGTCACAATGTCATGATTCTTGTCATTTTTTGGGGGAATTAACGTTTCATGACATTGATCATATCTAACCAGACCACATTTCATTGCATAGCTTCATATTTTGGCATCAGAAGCGTAAAGGGAGATGGCGGAACAGCATGGGGCTCATTGTGCATGTTTCTGGCACGTTTTGGCATGTTTTAGGTGGCAATTTTTTATTTGTATTACCCTTATTTATTGTTATTATTTAACACTTTATTTAATTACGTATTTGAGTTTCAGTAGTTTTAGTTGGTACTATCGTAGCCTCCTTCGTGCACTAACCACTGATTAACAAACTAATGTCTATTTCATTGTTGGTCTCTCTTCAGCTGCTTTATTTTCGTAAGTATTAGTTTTATGTTTATTTCGATTCGTTTCAAAATTATTTTTATTTTACGGCATGTTTGTTTTATTTTGGGCAAATTTTCAAAAAACTGAGCAAAAGAAAAATATTTTGGAGCGAGCGATATGAAGTCCAAAAATCGTAAATGTGGTTTGGTGTGTCTAGGGTCGAGACGGAGTGGCCCTCGGGCAAGGCCCACCAGGTGCAAAGGGTGATTCAGGTGAACCAGGGCCCAAAGGTGATAAGGGCGATAAAGGGTTTACCGGCTTTCCAGGTACAAAAACTCAACCCCAACCCAACTCTTGAAAATTCTCGACTAATTTTTGGCTTGTTAGGTCCTAAGGGCGACATGGGCTTGATGGGCACTCCTGGGGAGGCCGGCATTAACGGCGAACCTGGCCCTCAAGGTCCTCCCGGTCTTCCCGTAAGTCTCCTCGAGTAGTAATAACCAAATCGAAATTTGAAATTGTAGGGCCAAGTGGGCCCCAAGGGCGAAAAGGGCGAATACGGCGATATTGGTCCACCGGGTCTCATGGGTCCTCCTGGTCTACCCGGCCCTCCAGGCTATCCCGGCCAAAAGGGCGAAAAGGGTGAAAAAGGCGAATCAGTAAGTTGCAAAATACTCCACAACTCTTCTAGCTTCTACTTAAAAAAATGCTTTGAATGAATTCTAATGCGTCTTTTCTTTTTTGGCGTTTCCTGCAACCACAGAAATACAAAAAGCTGCGTCGAAGACAGGTAAATATGCTATTTCTTGGTCAGAATGTTTTGCTTAATGCTATGCTTGAATTTTGTCAATTTGGAGAAAAACGATTACTTTTGGGGGATTTCCTATACTGTTCCAGGGAGACGGCACTGGGGAAATAACAACAGGAGACGTGATTATGGGACCTCCGGGTCCCCCTGGACCTCCGGGTCAGAACGGTCTTCAAGGTCCTCCTGGGATTAAAGGGGACCGAGGAATGGATGGTATAAAGGGAGAGCCAGTAAGTCACATTTTATTTAATTTGGTTGGTACTAGTTTGGATTTTCTAGGGTGAAAAGGGTGCTAAAGGCGATCCGGGACCGATGGGTCTTCCTGTAAGTTACTATGGGTGAGTTAAATGGCATTTACCATGATTTGATGCAGGGTCCCATGGGTCTGAGAGGTGAGAGTGGTCGACCGGGTGATTATGGGAAACCAGGGCCGATGGTAAGGAAACCATTCTATAACTAGGACTAAGAGCAGCGTTAACCGAACAATGCAGTGACTTAACAAATTAACAACACTCTAAATGAATTAACAAAATTTTGCAATTTTGTTAAGTGATTGTTAATCATCATTTAATTTTTCACAACCACCACCATTGGATTGTTTACGACGCATCCAATTTGTTACTGTTTAAGTATTGAATAATCGATGGTTTAGGAGGACAATAACTGGTGATTCCCAGGATAGTCAAGATACTGCCATAAACGACGTTCAAGGCTATATCTGCATTTTTTATTTTTGTTTGATTTTTGTTTTCTGTTTTTGTAGAATGTTAACAGTGCGACAGAAGTTATATAAGGGAAGTTACGAGATAATATTCTAAAAACAACTAGGGTTAAACAGAAATGTTTTATATTACCTTTGTATCTAAAATATGCTGTATTTATTGCTACTTTAATATTTATTGTTTAGAGAAATGGCGGGCAGCTGTAACAAGTTTCAACGCCATCAGGTGATCCTGATCACACAAAATGGTGTATTATTTAACTTGCAACTGTTATTCTTCCCTTATTATTCCACGACAGTTTTTAAAAAAGTCAACAAAGTTGGAAACTTGTCTCAACTGTCCCCACTCATCCACAACGGCCTTTCCGGCCTGACAAATCGTTTTACGTCCATTTAGTACTTAACACTCTTTTAATTGATTATGATGACTTGTCAATTTAAATAGGAAAGAGTGTATTAAGAGAAAAAACATAGACAGTGAAGATCGATTTTTATATAAATATTACAATTACTATTTATTATATTTGTAAAAAGGAAGTTTTGCAAGACCATTAATTTATAAGTTGACGAATGTGTTGTAATATAAGTGTTACATTTTTATAGGTGTCTTATAGTAGTTGATAGTTTGTAATTAAAAACACGAAAAAAACAACATATAACGTGACTGACTCTAGACTAAACACCTAAAACCAACCTGTAAAATATTTTACTTTTAATAATTAGGTAATAATAAGCTTCTGTAAACGATAACATGTACGAAATAAATGTATGTGCATGTGCTGTAATTATTAAATAAGCTTGTGTTACATTGGCCACCTTGAGCTTCTCCCTTTTGTCCCCAAATAAGTCCTAAAGCTGGTTTTTGTCTCTTTTTGAGACCAGCTTTGATGGCATGACGATAACATCGATGCATCGTGTGCATTGAGTGCATTCACATTTCATTAACATATTCTTGTGTTGTTTATTTCCATTTTTGTTTCAATTATTTTTCTTCACAGGGTCCGCCCGGACTTGACGGAATGAAAGTAAGTAACCTAAACACAACTTAGTTATTCTGTTTTGCACATCCACTATTAATAATAATAATAATAATTTATTCAATTCATTTTTTTATTAAGGTTGGTAGCGGTGTCAATGACCGGTAAATGTCAAAGTGCAAGACAGAAAACCATTTAGAAAAAACTTGTTTCAGTTAGTTTCATGAAACTAGTTTTTAAAACACTATTTGACTACTAGTCTCAGTTTTCTACCCCCGTTTTAGGGCGCCCAAGGGGAGCCCGGGAGCAAAGGAGAGCGCGGCGATCCCGGCCTACCTGTAAGTCTCTTTTCATCCCCAATTAATGATAACCGAACTAATTTTAGGGTACTGATGGAATTCCGGGTCAAGAGGTACTAACAACTAACTTTAGCATTTGCTTGGATAGCAGCTTTGGCTTTGACGTCACTCACCACTCACTAACCTCCTACTATACCACTTAACACTAACCCAAAATTTTGTTTTAGGGTCCTAAGGGAGATAAAGGTTCCAAAGGAGATTCTGTAATATTTTCCTGATTGTGTTTTTTTGGTACTATTTGGCACTATTCTAGGGTCCGATTGGAAAAAGGGGACGTAAGGGAGACAAGGGCGATAAGGGCGACCAGGGAGTACCCGGGCTTGACGCCCCATGTCCTCTAGGGCCTGATGGACTTCCGCTTCCGGGTTGTGGATGGAGACCACCAAAGGTATAATGATCGAAATCTGGTGTTTTTGTAGCGTGTTACTAACTGCATGGGTTTCGGTTGGTACTAATCTTTTAGGAGGTGATTCCCCCCGCGCCACCTGCACCAGTCGACTTCGATGTCGAAGATCCGATCGATGAAGCAGAAGATGACTATGAAGAAGCGGAAGAAGATTACGAATATCCGGATCAGATGAATGCCGCACTTCCGGTTTCCGCTTCGGCCATTTAACATTTAATTACACTGCTTGTGTGTCTAAAGCTATAACATAGTTGGTAGGTTGGACTAATTATTATTATCATTTGTAGTTTTTTTCCTATTTTTTGTATTTTGTCACTTGATGAAGTAAATTTGGGATTTTTTTTAGGTGTGAAGCTCAAGTTTGGATATGCATCGCCCCTGGGACGTAATTTTCACGTACTTATCAGTGGATAGTGATTGTGTTGTAAATAAAGTGTTACAAATGACAAAAACGTGCGCTAATCAAATTTAACTAATTTATTAGATGTAGTTAATAGTTTTTTACTGTTCATATGTGTCATTATGTTCCTCATAATCATAATCATATTTTTTGAAAATTGTACAAAAGTATCGTTATAAAGAATGTAATCCTAGGTTAGATTAGATGTACTTTGTAACAAAAGTTTATTAAGGTTCCAGATAAAATTAAGCAAAGTTAAATTTAAGATTAACGTTCGGAAATAAATAATGTTTTTTGTATTTGTCTTTTTGTTATTTATCAAACATTTTAGATTCTCCAATCAAAAAGTGTTTTATTGACCAAAAAATAAAATCAGTTGTTCCTCCTATTTTACTTCAGATGACAAGAATTAAAAACGCTTGTTTCGTAACTATTTTATTTGTATTAAACTTTTTACAAAATATACAACTTTAAATCTAAAACACTTAAAAAATTATTTTGAGCAAATTTACGATTGGTGCTTCGAAAGCAAGCGAGATGGCGAAAGCTGACACGAATGAAGCAACAACGTTGCCACAATATATTACGATCTGAAATACAACAATTCTTGTAAAAACAAAAGAAATCAAATTGTTTAATTACTTACGACAAGACTTTCGTGAAGATGGATTGGCCCATCTAAGATGAAGCTGGTCAAACACATAAATACAGGATGTATCAAATATGCGCAATAAGTTAACCTACTGAGAGGTAGAAAGAATTTGAATTTTAAGAGAGCACTGATGGGCCCCCCATAACCCGAGCAGCACGCCAATGTGATCCAAGCCAGGGCTAAGCCCCACGCTGTGTGCCCCAAAGAAGCCTGAAACAGAAGGTTTTATACCATTTGAACAAAGTACCATACGAAATAACTAATTTAAATTAAAAATTAAATTAACTAAAATTGTAATCTAAAATTAAAATACAGGGTGTTTCACACAACTTTACGAGGCTTACACCCAAATATACAAAAGTCACAAAACACTGGATACAAAAAATACACATCTAATTATTTAATTTTTGGAAACCCATGACAGTAGTTGTCAAACTAATCACGGTTTCATTAATAGTCATAAACTGCAGTTTTTCAGAAACAATTATCATTTGTTCTATCAAGAGACGGCATGATGCATGAATATGATTCTAGTTTATCTATCCTAATCACTAGGGTGAACAAACTAGAGAACATTATCCAATTTTTCAAAATTTGTAATCGACTTTGTATCGGAATATGTATTAGTGATTGCATCTTACAGGCGCAGGCCTCGTAAAATTATGTGAAACACCCTGTATGTAACTTATTCAAAATTTCGCTGTTTTACTATGATTATAATAAATAACGAGTGTTCCACTTATTTGAATTTCGGGCGACCAAGTTCACGCATCAAGCCCTTTATTATCAAGTCTTGTTAAAGAGTTAGAATTTCCCACGAACACTTAAAGTAATTTCTAAATTGTTTGTAACAACAAATAGATAGTTATTTAAAATAAAAATTGATAAGAGCAGATTCATAATATATAAGGTGAGTCTTATTATATATCTTTATATAACTTATAAAGCATAAATTTTGAGAATTAAAGGTTATTTATTAGTTAAAACAATATAAAAAGTAAGGCTCGAGCCCCGGTAAAAACATTTCGAGCTTCGACATAATTTAAAAAAAAAATATTAAGAATACATATTTAAAAAAATGAATAAAAATAAAAATTCATTAATAGTAATTATTCTATGCATAATAATAAAGAATTTTTGAGAAATAAAGGCGTTTCCATTTCGGATTTTGCATATACCTACCAGGTGAACAGAAAGTATGAAATTTTTTGCTTAAAAACTTAAAAAAAAACTAACTGATGAACGATAGAGTTCTATAAAAATGTGACGTTTTTGAAGAATAAAAATTTCGATTTTTTTTGTTTTCGTGTTCTGTAGATTATTTAATTTTTTCAAATGGCAACTCACTTTTTTACAAAAGCTATGATCCAATAATTACAACTGTCTACGTTTCTTTATTCAATTTTTATCGAAAAAAACTTTCATTTATGTTGCCAAAAACATTTTGAAAAAAAATTGCATAATTCAAAAACAAAACAAGATTTCATTCCCAAAATACCTTGAAATTTATTATAGCCCTTTGACTTTTAATAATTATTATTTTCTGAAGGCAAATGATCAAAAAACCGCTTGGTTTAGTTTTTACTTTTTGTTCACGTTGTATGTGTTATAGTATGTAAATCATAGTAGATAGTATGTAAATCATGTTTTCGAGCTTTTGTAAAAAAGTGTAAAATCAAAATTATAAACCCCGACAATTTTGAGAGGCTAGATTCGCCACTGTGTAACACAAGTTCTTTTACATAGAAATCAAGTGTTTCTATAATCTATTTCACCTCAAAAAACGCAATTGCGACGTTGGAAATAAACTATGTTTATTCCAGATGTGCATGCAAAACTTTCCACATAGCAGACTAAATATTAATTTAGTTATTAATTTAATTATTATTAAATAACATAAAAGAATGATAAATGTGTCAAATAATGTCAAATAATTTTACAAAATATTCAGTTCATTTTTAAGAGTAAAAATCGGTATCAGAGAATTTCTTTGTATCTCAAAAAACACCCAAAAGATGTAATTCATTCAATTCCAGCTTATTTTCCAATTATCTTATTCTTGGGAGAATAAAGCGTCACTTTATTCCCTATTGGGAGGAAAATGTACCTTATGTAAATATATCACTCGGATAATATTGCTGTGTTGTTTTTTATCTTATCCAAATCCTGAACCAAAAAGTAAAAACTTTTAACACAAGGTTGCTGAAAACCATAAAACAAATCTCCCTAAATTTGAATGACTTTTTTGAAAAAAACCCAAGTGTAACGCCATTGCGTCATCTTTTACCTTGACCTAGTTGGCGAGTGAATATTACGTAAATTGTGAAAGTATTTCGTTCTCTTTAAGATATTTTTGGAAACACACAGTAAAAGAACGGAAACCGTTTTGAAATCAATTAAAAAATAATTGCCCCTTGCAGGTGCTCCGATACTATCAATAAACCGGCGGAAGTTATCAATGACAGCACCTTGAAGCGAAATACGGTCATTGCACCAGAATCTTAAAAATTCACACTTACATAAAACGCTGATGTTGGAACTACCAATCCTTGTCTACCAACACCATACACTAAACTTGACAAACAAGCTAGTGATAGTACCCATCCTAGCACTACCACAACCAGTGGCAGTTTAACTTTACATTTAACTCTGAAGAGGAAATACCCAGCGATCATTCCAATAAAATACGGCCCTATCCTCATCCACGGCTTGTCGTAAAGTTGGTCAAAAAGCGCAAACGGCTCTTCCACTCTCACAGCATAATCGTATTTCATCGCTATGACAAAAGTCATAATCCAGGAAGCCACCATAAAGACTCCAATAGCGGCACCGGCGAATTTCAAATGTTTCTCACTTCTGTAATAAAAAATTTGGTTTTGCTGTCTAAATTCGTAAACTAGCACTTACCGCACTGCGATCAGGAGAAGCACACTCGCGACGAGGTAAAACTGCGTGTCATTGGCAATATACCACGACCAAAGCATGCAAAACTCAGTTTGGGGGTAAAAATTATTAATGTAGAGAGCATTCCTCCACCAGAAGTTGCTACAACTGATGTGGTCTATAATCGCCGGTGAAAAAACGGAATAGCTGTGTAAGTAGCGTAAAATCACTTCGTTTACACCCAACACGAAGAGATAGGCAGGTGTAAGGCGGAAGAACCGGTAAATGACTAGCATCAGGAATTTAAAGAAGTTAGTCTGGACTGATTTGCATGTGGTTTCTTCCTTGATTGTTTTTTTGGCAGCAGTGCGAAAATAGGTAATTGTGACAAGCAAACCGCTTATGAAGAAGAAGGTATCCACCGAAAAAGTCGCATTGGAGATGGTTTGGTACACAAAGTTGCGTTCGGTGAGAATTCTGAGATTCTTATTATCACCAATTGAGAAAACTTCGAGATAAGTGTGAACCATAATGATCCAAGCGATGGAGAAGAAACGAAGACCGTGGATGCATTTGATCGAGTCTTGTGAAACTTTTTCAACATTGAGGATCTTCTTCCCATTGTCAATAGCGGAGAAACAAAGAAGAACTCGAAGAAATAGGCCTGAAATAAAACAATAAAGAAATGCGTCATTTTTAACTTCCAGGAGTACCTACCTTGTTTTGGTTTATGTGGTGTTTTTTCCTCTTTTTTGCCAGATTTAACACTTTTGGTATCTTCCACATTATTGTTATTTTCAAGTTCGGCGTCGACTTTTTGTTTCTGCTTCTTGTTTGCTATGATTTCAACCAACGACGCAACGAAAATTAGGACTGCGACGACAAGTGTGACCCCTCTGGAACACGTTTCGTGATTATTTCCGGGAAATTTTGGGTCAAAGTAGTACTTTTGTGACTCACAACCTAAGAAAGTTTTCTCTTGTGACTTATGTAAGACCGTAAGATAAAAATCTTCATTTTCATTTATAATAGAAATCTGTTTCCATTTTAAGATTCAATTCCTCAATTAATTATAAGATCCGTTTGAGTAAGTGTTTTAATTTTATTTATCGCGTTGATCTATTGTAATGAAAGTTTTGCTGTAATTTTTTAATCTCATTTTGTTGAAATTTTTGTGAAATGAAGGACTTGCTGTTATAAGTGTATTGCTCTCGAGAGCCTTGCCTTACTTATCGGAATTACTTTCAATTTCACGTTTTATAACAGTTGTGTTGCTTAACTGGAATTTACGGGAAATTTTGTTTTATTTTCTTCGATTCAACTTTTATTTACTGTTTTCTTATCATTTGTGTCTCATTGCAGAAACAACGTGATTACCTAAATAACACAATATCGTGTCAAAACACGCAACGTGGCGTATTAACTTTTTGTTTAAAGTAATGAAAAAAAATTAAAACTTGAATTGATTTTCTAGACACATTTTCCGAAACTTTTTTCTGTAGTAATATCATAAGTGGTAAAATTTTGTCGGCAAAATTTTCAGATGTACGAGAGTTTGTTGCATAGCAGTTTATCGAGTGACATTGTTAGAAAAACCTAGAATCGCAGACGAGAGGTTTTTGAACAATGTCACGAGCTAAATTGGCAACAAAACCTCGAGTAAATCAATCAAAAAATTTTGCCAGACCAAATTTTACCACGAATGGTATTCAGAGGACTATTTCATGAATAATCTAATTAAAGGAAATAACTGTCAAAATATTTAAAACGACAGAAGTTGTTTAGACTGTTACCATGAAGGTAGTAAAATTTTATCACTTGAAAACTGGCTTGGTTTCGATTTTGTTCATAAATATTCTTCACTCATTGGCTCTAAATATGAGGTGAAGGCGATAAAATTTTGCTTTCATTAATTTTATCGATTAAAATTTTTTACTCATTATTGAGTAAAAAATGCTATTGGCCGAATGAAATAGTCCATAAAAAATAAAACGAAAATGAAAAAATTCTAAGTTTCTATCGTAAATATAAAATTTATTACGCAAACGTTGCAAAAGTGACCCTTTTATCACTAAATGACACAAGTAAAAATTTTACTTTACAGCCATACAGTAAACATTCTGTTTTTTCGCTTAAGCATTTTTATATTTACCATGACATGATTACCATGACATTTACCAATGTTGTCTTTCGCTGCATTGACAATTTCTAGACAGGTACATCGTAGATCACCAGCATTCGACATTTTGCACTACTAACTGCACTAGTCATCTACTAATTAAATTGATAAACACTTTTGAAAATCTCAACACAAATTCCGATACTGTCGCGTGATGTTTGTTTATAAGCGTTTTATAATTTCATAACTTGCAAAGCGTTATTTTTTGTTCGTTTACTTGTTACTCTCGATCTGAAGACTTTTGCGGATAAAATAGTATACATATGTTATTTGAAATAAAAGTGAGTTTATGTAGTTTAGCTTCGCCACATAAATCATCACTTTTACTTCGAATAACATAATATACTATTAAATATTAAATTATTGTTATTATTAAATATTATAATACCACTGTAACGTTATTATTACTATTTGATAATATTTTTTAAATGTTATAAGCGAAAATACACCCAGAGGATATTTAAAATCACACTTTTATTAAATTTGCCACCTTATATGAAGAATGGAGTTACGAGTATTTGATATTTTATGAATATTCCCATGTTAACTATAAAACATTGTGTGAGTCGTAAAATAAACAAATAGTTGTGGCTTTTCCCATTTTGGTTTATGTAGTTAATTATTTAGTTGTATTATTATACGTATAATTACTTTTACTATTTTTAATATGTTTAAATACTTGTTTTGTATGAATTATAAACAGACAAAAGGTTACTTTCTTTATAAATCCCATACTTATTGAAAAGATTCTTGAGGTAACAACGGGGTTTGAAATTTCTAAACCAACAAAAAAATCATATCCATCAACCTGGATTTTTTCTCTTTTATTTGCTAATAAATAAATAATTACAAAAAGAAATATCTTTTTTTATATCTGTTTTTTGCAAGAAAAATTATTTTGCGAAATGTGAACCACTTTATTTCGTTTTTTGACAAAATTTCGTTGTCGCAACAAAAAAAATCTCATGCTAAATCAATTTATATACAGTTTTTTCTCTTTTGATGTTTTTCATTTCGTTAATTAAAATGTTTGTTATTAATTACTGTGTGTGACTAAAGTACAGTATATGTATTTTCGAATTTATCATTTGAAGCCCTGAATATTTATTATAATAATCGTTTTAAAACGAGAAGGTTAAGAGAAAATAAATAATTAATGGTGTAGCTGTTACTGTAATATTACAAATGCATTAAACCATTGAACATACTATAATTTATTTCTGTAAAAAATAAACAGCTCATTAGAAAATTAAATTTGCGTGCTTATAAAATAGTTATTTATGTACCTAAAAAAATTACAAATACACGTCGTGTAATTTTGCAATTACAACTTTTCTTATTTATTAAAAACAAATTTAAGATTAAAAAATTCACAGGGCGTGTTTCAGAAACAGGAGCTTAACAACTAAAATAGTTCTTCTATGTGACTTTTCACGTATATTTTGGATTGCTGTTTGCAATGCAATTTTAAAAAATCAAAAACGTCTCCAGAAAAATTAAACAAACAAAACAAACGAAAATTGAAGTTCTTTCTAGAAGGGCTCGTCGCTCACGTCATCAATAATATAAAAACAGGAAGAGAGAAACACAAATTGAAAAACTGAAATCTTGAAAATTATATCTTGCTCCTGACTCAGTTCTAGAAATTTTGATTTGTTGAAAACACACTCAATTTCAGCACCGACCTTGCCTTACTTAAACCTCACTTTCCATTTCCTTCACTTACCCCACAATTTGAAATTTGAGATCTTCGAACAGTCTGTAATCCCCCGGAACCGGCCTAATTCCCACTACGTTGAGTGTAGACCCAGCTTTGCGGTCCTGTGCCAGCAGCAATCTTACGTCTGCAGGAGTGCAAGAAGATGGCAGACATTCGCCGACATTCAGCTGTCTGGTCTGTAATCGTGACATTACGCAATATTGCTTTCTCTCAAAGGTTAAAAGGACTTACCACTGGCGTTAGGTTTCGGTTAATGTTTAGCCGGACTTTGGCCATAAGGAATGTGACAGGAAAGGGGGGAATCTCCGAGTTGGTTTCGGTGTTGGTTAGCTCTTCACAGAGGGTTTTCGAACCCAGCCAGTAGTCGTTGCCGAAGAAGAACTGGCCGGAGTAGCGGCCAGAAGAGTCGTACACTGCAAAAAAACGAAAATAATTATATTACAATGAACAATTTAACCAAAAGTGATAGCAGCTGATACTACTACTTACTACATTTCTAAAAATATTTTATAAAATATGCTCCATAATGTCTTGGTTTAACTAAGGTTTTAGATTTAAAAAAAAATTCAGCACATTATTTTCAGTTTTTAATTCTCACTCTTATTAATTATGTTTAACGCAGAGAAGCGTGCGAATTAAAATTTAATAGAGATTTGTGGCTGCAATTAAGCGTAGTCTAAATTAAAGTAGTTCTAGTGTGTAAAATTGCTAAGTTATTGTCAGATAGAATTCGAATAAATATTTATGTTTAGCTCGTAATAGTGTTCCAAACAAGTTTACAAGTTTATTTTTTCGACACTTTTAACCCCAATATTTTGTGTTGTATTGGATTAAAGCTTTTCAGACAAATTACAAGAGTAAAAATTTTGTTTATGATTATTGGAAAAATAACCTTCTTTAATTTATACAAAAAAAACCTACAGGGTGTCTCGACTTACATTTTTTTATTAATATATTCGTTATTAATGAATACAAAGCAGTAACATTTTACAGTTATGTGGAATCTAGAATACAAGTTTACAAATAGGTAGGTACTTGAAAATTTAATAAAATTATTAAAAATTCTATCAAAACCATTCATTGGATAACCACGACTGGTATAAAAACTTGAAACACGTCTTTCTCGGTTAATTGACATTGATTTTTTTTAAATGCTGTTCAAAAAGAAAGTAATTTCTGGAGTATTTAAGTTAAGAAAAACAAATAACAAATAGAATAAAATCTCCAGGGTGATTCTTAAATAGACCGACAAAATTTTATCACAATTTCCCAAGGATAAATAGAGACAAACTGTACACTTTTTACGTTTATACCTTTTAGGCTTTACGGTGTTTATCAATTGAGTATATTTTCATCAAATTAAAACCATGGTTTCCACTACCTGTGCTAATACTATTTACGAATACATCAGTGGCGTACGCTTTACTTCAAAAATAACTGTAATAAATTTTATTTGGAGAACGGTTAAACAAAAAAATTTTTAAATATTTTTTCCAGCATGTACTCATTTGATACAACCAAGGATAAAATTTTGTCGGTCTATTTAAGAATCACCCTGTATAGAGTTTATACTTGAATAATTTAATAGTGCTATCAGCTGATGATATTGAGTAAATGGTAAATGATAAAAAAATAAACTAGAAATACATGATTAAAATCGGATTAACTCAATAACAATAGTTGAAATTTCAGGGAATTTCTTAGGACTTTCGCTTGATTTATAAAGGCACTGAGAATTTTCTTAGTTTGCAGATTTTATGAAAAACGGTTTCTCTATACCTCCAAATTTGTGGTTTATCATGGTTTTTCCCATGTCATGTCTGGGTTTTTAAATGTTTTGGTCCAAAAGAAGCCATTTGGTTTATCCGGATTTTGTTCTGTTTTTCCATGGTTTTCTTATTGTTACAGTATCTAAGTAAAAAATTAGCTGTTTATAGAATTTCTCTGGTTTTTTTTTAAATTTATAATAAATAAACAATATAAAGTTTGTGAACAAGAACGGCACAAAATTTCGATTATTTAACACTTGGCTTCGAAAATATTTTTTATTTTGTTGAGGTTACTTTCATTATTATTTGCTTTTAGATAGATCTAGTTTTAAAATGTATATAAGTAGGCATTTTTTTGTTAATACTAGACACACATGAACCATAAATTTGTATTTATTTGTTTAGATTTATATTCAAAGATCATGATATACATTTTATGCACATAGTCTAAAACCAACTTTTTAAACTATGTAGGTATAGGCAGGTTTTATTTAATTTTTTAAAATATGTTTATTTAAATTTTTAATAAAATTTATTAACTATAGTTTCTATCTGATTTTAAGTCGTCTTGTGCTGTATGCACTACGTTTAATCATTAAGTCTGTCGCAAAGGAAGTCTTCAGAATGTTAATTAATTTCCGCTACTTTTCTAGTTAATGAGAGCACATCTGATTACTTTGAAAAACTGAAAGATTTAAAATCAAGAAAAAAAAAAAGAAATTGACAAAATTATTCCAAATGATACGTCTAGAACATTATGGAAACATTTTAAATTAACCAAGAATGTAAAAAAAGAATAAATGAGAATATTGCACAACTGAATTACCTTAAAATGTCTTGTTTACATTCACTGACCTGCGCGAATATTGTAAAGTTAAAGATCAATAAACTTTTATTTTAACCGCAAAACCAGCAAACTACATAATTAAATTATTTCTTTACCAAAAATTAAAAAAAAAATAGAAAGTTTGAACCCCACAGTAGATTCCTACTGCTTGTGAAATAAAACTTTTTGAAAGAATCTAAATCGTTCTAACCAAAAACGCAACACAAAAATTAATTTTTGTTTTTCTTGCTAGAAATAGATGTTCTGCTAAAGAATTTTAAAACAGTCAAATAATCATTATTTTGTCAACTTGTGTAAGAAGTGTTTTTTAGTAAAATTCGTTAGTATTCTAATAATTCTTGTAAAAATTATAAACAGAAGAAGAACACATACTTAAATTAATGAAAAAAAAATATGATTTTAAGTTGAAAACCGTATTTTTTGTAATTTTGTAAGACGTGGTCGTTTGAATTTAAGGAAATTCCTGACTATTTCCGCGTCAAAAGAGTAGGATTTTCTTCAAACTCGTTTCAGTATTTTTTCAAGTGGTTTTAATGCGGGCATAACGTTATCAGGTTGCAGCCGTTGCGCAATTAACATTCAGTTCGCAATTATCGCATTTATAGAGAGAAAGTACAAACTTTTGGCCGCCCAGGAAGTCCCATTCAGCAACTCTTCGACATACAGCTCCAAGTCCGTCTGACACCTCGTCTCGTTCAAAACTTTGAGCTTTCCGGCCCATTTCAGGTGGTCGAACAATTCTGCCAACCACCGGACTTCCGACACGTCCTGAAAAATTTCCTCTACAACTGGATTATGCAACTCTGAAGCCGGAACCGGGAACTGAATACCATTTGACAGGTAGGAAAGATCAGACGAATTGTATCTTGTCGGTTCGGTTAGGGCACTGCTCACACACAACAAGAGCACGAGCGTTAGGGCCATTTTTAGCACTAGCACACAAGTCTGTTTTTTTTAAAGGGTTATGTGGGCATTTTGGACCGTGTCGACGTTATCACTGCTGGGTGCACACTGACGCGACTTTCGATTTGGTTTGATGGAAGGCTGAGGCGATTTGAAAATTTCCCTCGACGATGCGGAGAAAGGTGAGTTCAGGCGGTGTGGTCTGCTGTTTCTCAATGGAGCTCGGGTTTCTTTTGGACAACACTCACGTAATACATGGTTATGGACGTAGACACGGCTTTTGTCCAAGAACGAGAACGATGGGAGGAACTGGTCAGCGAGAATTGCGACATATTTTACATAGGAAGAAAAACGCTAAACACTATTTTCATTTATTTTGACTGGCTCTCTCATAAATATATGGAATGGGACTCGACTTTTTGCTGTTACGTGGAGTAACGTAACGACTGGAAACCAAAACTATGGGTTCTTTCAAGCAAAATCTGAAATTAGGCAAGGCACCTTCGGCTTTGACAGTAGATGTGTTCAAGAAGGAGTTAGTTTAATTTTGTAAACATTTACAATAAATTAATAGACAAGATAAATTTGACTGTTTTTAATGTCTATTTTGATACACGGAGAAAAAATGTTTCTCCGACTACAGTTAATATATTATATTGACTTGCAAATAATTTCATGAAAATGTTAGATGGTTTATAATTTATTTATGATTAGTATTATTATTATTATGAATTAAATGTTGTTCCTATAAAGGTGCTAATTATTGAAAAACATAACAAAAATTGGAAAATAATTGTATGACTATGCAGTAAGTGTTACATAAAACGGTTATCTTGTAAAATATGCTTCTTGGAAATGTTACAAGAGTGAATATGATGGTTTGAGCAATTATGAATCATTGGAATTGTAGATGACCAGTAGTACCTTTACAGGGTGTCCCAGCGAGTCGAAAAAGTCTATTAGTGACCTTTAAATAGTGAAATTTTAAAAAATTGTATAGGACATTGATAGATACTTATCTAGTGCATAACCTAAAATTATTTTCAACTATAGAGCATGTCTCAAAAATAAGTTACAATACAAACTTGTGTTTTTTTAATGAAACACCGAATGTGTAGCCTTTTAAAACAATGTTTTTACGCTAAACTTTTATTAGTCGAAATAAGGCCTTTTTTTAAACATGCATTTATTACAAATTTATTACACACAAACTAAGACAGCTAAAACAATGTTTTTTACTTCTGCAAAGAAGAAAGTACAGAATTTAAAGCTGTAGCAATTTTTTAATAGTGTTTTGCATTTGTAAAGATTAAAAAATGAAGAAGTTTGTTAAAAGTTAAATAACTTAAAAAATTTAAACGGAACACCCTATTTTTATTTTTGCATCCAATAGATTGATAAATTGTCTACCTAAAAAAATTAACTTTTTATGTCTAGAACTGATAAATGAAAAGATATTTAACATTCAATATTAATTGTAGCAACAATGCCTATCAATATCTGAACATTGTTGATATTATGGCAAGCATAGTAATTCCAATCACTTATTCGTTGATTTATTCAGAGGTTATAAAAGTCGTTATAAATACTGAAATTCGAATTATTTTATTGTAAAAATAAAGAACAATGAATTCAGTTTAACACAAATGTGATTATTAAGTGATATTTCCTCCATCTCTTGTGCAACTGTGCACTTTTTGGCTACTGAAACAATAGCAATTATTTTTTTAATGTTTAACGTTAATCTTTTTAGTTATTGATTATAAACACCTAAAAGTAAATAATTTCATAAAGACAATTTAAATACAAAAACAATAAGCAGGGTGTTCCATTTAAATTTTTTAAGTTATTGAACTTTTAACGAACGCCTTTATTTTTTTTATCTTTACAAATGAAACACACTAAAAAAATATTATAACCTTATAGCTTGTACCTTCTTCTTTGCGGTATTAAAAAAATATTTCTAGATATCTTAGTTTTGTGTAATAAATTTTTGAAAAGAGCATGTTTTTGTCAAAAAATCAGCTTATTTTTAAAACTAAGCAAAATCGACCAATAAAGGTTTAGCTTAAACACATTGTTACAAAATCTACATCCAAAAACGCTAAAAAACATATGGTGTTTCATTTAAAAAAAAAACACAAGTTTGTATTGTAATTTATTTTTGAGTCACGCTGTACAGTTGAAAACAATTTTAGGGGATGGACTAGATTAGTATCTATCAATGTCCTATAAGTATATATATTTTTTTATTTTACTATTTAAAGGTCACTAATGACTTTTTTCAACTCGCTGGGGCAGCCTGTATAAAATATTACTTCTGGACCAGGGTGTTTGGCAAATGGAAAAATTGCCGAACAAAAAAAGACATTCAACAATCAAAAAAGATCTTAAATCCTTGAAAATCACTAACTTTCATGCACCCCAAAAGCATTCAAAGATTTATAGGTCAACATAGATTGGACTCACAAAAATGATTCAAAATCAAGCAAAATTACGTCAAAAACACCCTACAAAATCCATTGTCTTTAGACACATTATTGAAAATTACCCAAAACAAGCCTCACATTTTTTTAAACACTTTAAAAGTAGGTATCTCAAGATCTTTAGGCTGTCATAAATTGGGCACATGGTGCTTAAAAATTTACCCAAAAACGCGTCAAAAAACATTTAAAAGATGCCTTATTTTTAGGGACTCCAAAATGGCTTCGAATTTCTTGACCAAGGCAACTGATTATATGAAAAATCGTTAGAAAACACTTAAAATCTGATTAAAATTTGATATGAAATGTAACATATTGGAATTACACAAATTATAACTGAAATTTGAGATGTGGCTAAAATTATACAAAAATTGTACATATTTACAAGGGGTAAATACCATAATAAATCAAGACGCGAGACGATCCTCCTGCCATAAAAACTTGAAAAAACAGCCTGGTTTTTATGAAAGTTATAAAGTCTATAAAAAGTCACGCCGATCTTTTTTGTCCATTGTGGTTTTGGTAATTAAAAAATGTCTTAAGTCACCAAAAAAATTACAAAATCATATTAAAACCTCTCTATAAAAGTGCTTAAAATTTCCAAACCAATATTTATCAAGTTATCAAGTTAATAAAAAGCTGCTTTTTTGTTCATGCTACAATAATTCTTCAGTTCAAAAATTCGTAAATTCTTACAGCATCTTTTCTTTCACAACATATTATACCATCGCCACGACCATCAATCCTGAATTAACAGGACAGGTCTTTAATGTGTATTAACACCAACACGACTAACGCTTCTCAAATCAATGTTTAACACATTATTGTTTGATATTGTTGTAAGTCTTGAATAAATAGAAGAGTTCCAAAACCGAGAAATGGTTGAGATTATTTGTCGACATGCATCAGTGCTGAGGTTTCCCGTCAACCTTCGTGAGTCATCAATCTTTATGGCCACTTGAGATCTCATCAGATGCACGATAGGTGATTTTTTATAGCAAAAAGTGACTACCTTACACTTAGCAATATTAAGATCTAAACAGTTATTCTCCTTGCACTACAAATGTAATTTGTCAATATTTGTTTGCAGAGGAGAAAAACTGAACTAAGTTTTTTACAAAAATCAAAAGAACAAAGTTTAGCAAAAGAAACCCCGAGATCCTATCGATCAAAAGCTTTTGTCACTAAAAATTAGATCTTGATCATCAATAACATGAGATGCCAATTACGTGAAAGATAAGATAAACAAAACAGATAAGTTAAACAAAATCGTGTTGTCAGTGGAGTAGCGAAAACCAATTTTTAATTAAAAATGATGGTACACCATCTGGTCCATATATCAAACTGTTTTTTAAGAATTTCTTTGAATGTCAAAAGTGTCACAGTACGAAATGCACAAAATAAATATTAGAGAAACAGATGTAAAGAAAAATGAATAAAAATTAAAAAGTACCTATATAAACTGAGAAGAACAAGAGAAACTAAAGACAAGTTCAATTATTTCCAAAAAATAGTTTAAAAATATATGTTGAATAAAACGATTTTATGTTTGAAATAGTTTGAAATCACACAATAATTATCTATTCTCAATGTCTTTGTTTGCGTAAATTAATTTCTAAAAGGAACTAACTTTAAAAATTGGCCAATCAGGTCAACTACAATTCCAATGATTCATAATCGCTCAAACCATCATATTCACTCTTGCAACATTTCCAAGAAGCATGTTTTTACAAGATAACAGCTTTATGTAACACCCTCTGCATAGTCATACAATTATTTTGCAATTTTCGTTATGTTTTTCAATAATTAGCACCATTACAGGAACAACACTTAATTAATAATAATCATAACTAAATTATAAAACATTTAATATTTTCATTAAATTATTCGCAACTCTCTAATCTGGTCACCCGACCGTAAAAACACCAAAACATCATTCGCATGCACATCGAATGAAAATAATTGTTGCCAAATGAGGATTTTTTGCTGATCTTGTGTCAAAACTTATTGATACTCCACCCACGTTTTATGTAAGAGACACACTTGGAATTGCGCCAGTATATTTGATGCATTTATTTATTTACTGTTATGCAATTCAATAATAATTATGGTGCAGTACGTAACAAATAATGCACGATCATCGTAAGTGGATGCGCTATTCGATGCTGGCACAGTGATTATATCACCCAGAATTGTACCATGTGGGTTATTAACACACATTACTGTGATTTTTGTACAACATTTAATTTATGGTTAAGAACAATTCCAAGCCTAAAGAAGAATAATACTAAAAAAATAAAAACTATTTTAGATAAAAATGAAAAAATCTTGCATGGCATTACCATATTTGCCAAATTTAAGACAATTTAACAATTTAAGAATCTCAACTTAAAAATTTCTAAATCCATATTTGACATTTCTTACATGAAAAAACTAAACTTATATATTTGTTTGATTTTGTAAAATTCTTACATTAAAAAAATGTTATAAAACAGGGAAGTAAAATCCGAGAAATTTTACAAATTCCATTAATTTGTATTAAGTTTAAAATTGAAGGAGGAAGACGCCGCTTAATTAGCTCAGGTGATTTTTCTTAATTAATTTCGATAGGAAGTGTCCAATTCGTATTACATAAACACAAAGTATCCAAATTGAAATGTGTTCTGTTCAGTTAAGAGAACAAATTATTGTTTACACAAAAAGTGGGTGAGTTATGTTTACCTTTTCGTTTTCTTCAAAATGAAACCGCTTATATAAGATTTATGAAATGGGCTAATGGGACAAAAATGGACATACCTCAAATATTGGTACATTGTGAAACATCTTCTTACACGTCCCAATCGTCTTTTTATTGTTTACGATACTCACATTTAAATTTTGTAATAATTACAATTACATACAAGCAATTACATAACTCGATGTTAGTCCCTTAATTATCCACGCACCCAATTAATTTTCCAAATGGGTAGAAAGTACAATTAACAGGAAACGTTTCCTGCTTCTTGGAGATCAGTCCTAGAGCTACTTTTGATTCATATTGTTATTAAAAGTTTGTGACATCAATTGAACAGCGATTCGTGACGTGCAAATTTTTATTCAAATCGAAGACTTTCTCCAACGGTTAAATATCCCAAGATGGTGCAATCGATACCTCAAGGTCATTTCCTGTTACCTATATAATTATCAATTCGGTGCTTAACGTCTATTAAATTATTATTTATACAGACGAAGAGGAATGTGGTAATGTGGTGGGTGGTGCTGAAAAAAATCATTACAGGAGGTGTAATCACAGTGAAGAAATGGAGATTTACATAATTTTATTGCTTGATCAGGATTTGCACTTCAGTGGACAACGGGAGACGAAACATTTAATTTCTAGGTTTTCTTCTTTTATTAAATCTTACAAAAATTATATTTCAAAAAATATGCCAATGTATTTGTTTTATTTGTGAACTGTGTATGACAGTAATAAGGTCAGAAACTTTATATCACGTAAAAGATATGAAATACTCGTATTTTTGTATCGATTTTTGTTCCAAAATTCAAATTTTTGATAAACAATAACACTTTAAGTTTCACACAAAGAAATTTGAATTTAATTAACGCATTTTTTACATAGATCTAAATTGTAAACAAATAAAAAATTCGTCTCCTTTTTTGCATAAGTTTGAAAAAGCATGCTTTGCTTAGATTCTTCTAACATTTTCAGTTTTTTAATTATAAAAATAAGAGTATTGTAGTCTAATGAACAAAGCTTTCGGGCCAATCAATGACCGCTCAAAATGGGATTGTTGAATACATGGTTGGGAACAGAATTTTTGATTTTAGGACTAGCTACTAAAGGGTAAACATACTAAAATAAGCCCCGGTTCTCAGAGGAGAACTTGGCAAAAATGGGGCATCAAGAAGGTGCCATTTTATAGTTTCTCGGTTACATCTCGAAAACGGTGATGTTATGAAACAAATTTTCTATAAGTCGGTTTTTCCGTTTTTTTGTACCATAAATCATTTTTAAAATATCCGCTAGCAAATATCGAAAGCACTCTTAAAAAAATATTTTCTTGTCTCATGTTGCAAATATGATGAAAAATTGTCTATTTATTGCCAAAAAATTGTATAATAATTTTGAAATTTTAGATAATTTTTTCCATGAACATATTTGTTAACTTTTCCTTTTGTTATCATCATATATTGTTAATTACACTAGAGAGCGGATTTATATGCGAAAAATTTTGCTGAAATATGCGCATGATAAGCAGTAAAAAATGACATATAATATGCTATGTTTAGCATATGATATGTTCAAAAATTTAAACATATTTTGTAAAGGTAAATCATAATGTTGCTGATCTGACCTGGTGTGTTTTTGTGGGTACTCCCATTCGAATAAAGTCCCCATTATTTCTGATACAACTTTAACTTGAAAAACACTTTGTTTTTAATGCAAATGAAAATCTTATAAAACTGGACCCTTAGGTGTGTTAGTCCTTAAATAGGGACACAATTTTTTACAAAATTATTATGAGGTACATATGTAATATAATATGTACATATTTATATAAAATATATTACACTTTAAACTGACAAAACTAAAATAAATAAACAAAAAACTTAAAAAACTTTTGTAAAATTATTTTGCGAATTTACATAATTTTGAATAATAGTAGGTATAACAAGAGTAGGTATGTTTTTTATGTAATTAACATGTCATAAAACATTTTTAGCTACAGTCGTTATAAAAACGTGAAAACTGTAAGAAAACTTTTTGTGAAATTGTAGTGTGAAGTGTGGAAAATATTTTTCAAAATTAAAAAAATACAAATTTTTGAGTTGAATTTTATTTACAAGAAGTCAATTAATTTTTTCTTAAATTTTGTACTCGCTGAGGTATTTGACTTAGAACTCGATGAGTAATTTACATATTTTTAAAAATAAAAAATAAATTTTGTGCATTAACAACGAAGATTTAGGGTTGGGACGAAGAGGAAGCCAGCCTCAGCAAGTGGGGAGCGAGCCAAGGTAACGCATGTACGGTTTTGTTGGCGTACCCTGTTTGAAAAGAAAATCAAAAAATTAAATGGAAAAGTCTTAAGACTGTAGTTTAGTTTCTCATTTAGTTTTTCCGGTTTGGATTTTTTGTTATTTTTTATTTTTTTTTATCACATATACATGCCTATGTTGCCGCTCTTGACGCCGCCACTGCCCACCACATCTGTTGTTAGTTTTAATTCAAATAAATATATAAATTATCTTTGCAATCACATTTATTTTTCTTACGAATTAAGAAATAAATTCAGGATTAATTTGATCATTTCAACAAAAATTCAATCAAATAAGCACATAATGTGCACGTTTCTTAGTAAAAATCAGGTAGAACGCTTAAATATGCGAAATTTATGATCACTGCAGTGTTTAGGTGAAAAAGAGATTGACTTGTAATTTTTATTTTTAAATTTCTTGCACTATTTATTCTCAGGAATTGTTGCGTGCTCCTGTAATAACTAGTTAAAAACCGTACGAATTACACGTGTATAATGTTAATGCGTCTGGCATATTATCTAACAAGAAAAACCTTCCGAAATGGGGCTAATGAAGTGTTAATGCAAGACCGATAAAAAACCAAAAACTCCAGACATCGCGTGCTGCTATCTACATTTTCACATTGTGCTCAGTAAGGGAAAAATCTCTTCATCCCGATTTATCGCCACACTTTGCACAATACATCCAATACTGTTATAACAACTTTCTCCTCCTAACGAGTGACTTTTTATTTATGCGGCTATACCTTTCGTTTTTATTTCGTTTGTCGTAAACTTCCGAATGTTATCCAAGCAAAGTGTGCTCGAACTCAAACGACAGATCTTATCACCGCGATTCAACTGACCGGATTTGTTGATTGCGTAAGTGATGTAATGTATGTAACTCTTAAACGTGATCTCTTCAAGCTACTTTTAGGGCAATTTCTAGGCATTGATATCAAATGAGCTTTATGTAATTGAGATTATTTATGTTTGGAGTGGTTTGGAACAGGAAGACGGCTTTTGCAGCCTTTGATTTGTTATTTAACAAGAGCGGTAATCGATTAGTTTGTTTACAAGCCGGTGACATTCAAACAAGTGCTTTTTTTCTTAAATAAATTTCAAAGTCACCTAACACCAAATTGTTTTTAGTTATTTATTAATGGGGTAATTAAATAATTTAGAAATCATAAATTATAATTCGTGATCAGATTTTTTGCACTAGTTACATCAAAAATGAGAGTGAAATTTTTTATATAATGATTTTTATAAATAACACCTGTTTGTGACATAACTACTTCCGATTTGAGCTCGAAAATTTCTCGTTTAATTTTTTAATTACTTGCGATGATTTTTAAATCGACCCACATGTGATTATTTAGAGATTTTTGCCTAAAGCAATTGCTTACTTCGGAAAAAACGTTTTTTGGTAATTCCGAGAAATTGCTCTAATTTTCACTTATGTGAACTAAGAATTATAAAACAATAACCCCTAGAGTTATGCAACACATAAATCAAATATCTTATTTTATTTTTACCTTCAATAACAATTTTTGTTCAATTTTACGACTTATACAAAATAAAAACTAGTACTAACTTTATAATCATTTTATTATTCATAATAAAAAATGTACATTTTAATATCCTAAAATCCAGGAATAATCTTCCCCTTCTTCACCGCCTTTTTCATCTTTTTCTTTTTCTTGTCCTGTTTCCTCTTCTCGATATTCTCACTCCTCTTCTCCTGCCGCTCCCTTTTGCCCTTCTCCACGTTCTCCAGCCTCTTCTCCCACTTCTTCTTACTCGACCTCTTCTTCTGTTCTTGCCTGTGTACCGTTTTCTTCAGCAACATAGGATCATCTTTAACTTTCTCTCCTTGTGTTTTAGCTAAGGCATTTTTCCACGCTTCTTTCTCCTTAATTTCTGCAACCTTCTCAAAATCTCCAGTCTCCTGTAATTCTTCAATTTTCTCCTTCTGTTTTTCTAGTTTCTGTAATAATTTTTTGGGGTCCTTTTCCTGTTTTTTCTCCTTCTTCGATCCAAGATTTGAAAAATCGAATTTGGAAAATACCATTTTGCCTTCACTGTTAAAGACAGGTTTGGCAGGTTTCACTGAATCACTTTTTTCAGTCTTTTGCGCACGCAAAAGTTTCTGTTGTGCGTTTCTTTCGTCTTGTTTAGTTTTCTTTTTCATACGATTTTTTAGACTCTTTTTGGTCAATTTATCTTTATATGTTAGTTTTTTCTTACTTGTTATCGCGTGGAGTCGGTCTTGTAACTCACTCAAAGACTTTGCACGAGTTTTTTCAGTTTTTTTTAAAGGCCTATTATGCGACGTTTGGTTGGGTTGATCCGACTCATCTTCACTCGCTTCTACATAAAAAACAAGTTCAAATTTGGGCAAAATAACCTCACTTTCGGACTTACCAGTATTATGAGAGGGCAACGACAAAATGGAAAATAAATCTGAAATAAATTTATTCTCAGTTTTCAAGATTGCCTCAACTTTTCTTTGATCGAAAGACATTTTATTCGTTAATTGCATTTTTCGATTATTGTTTACCACATGGCACCTAACCTAGAAATTTGACACTTCGGCCCAAGTCGCCAACACAATAAACCAAAAAAGAAAATTTTTATATTTGCTAATTTTTGGAAACTCTATCAAATAACTCATAATAACGCCAGCATTTACCAAAAAACACTAGTTTAATTAAATTAGATATTTTGATTGTGCTTGTTTAAAAAAATAAATTTTGGTGTAGTGTGGGTTGCCTGACATTCAGGAGCAAATTTTGAATTTCTGAAATTATTTTTAACAAATTGCTACATTTCTAATTATAATTTAATTGGACTTAATAATAACATTTTGCAATGCATTTTCTGGTTGTATAACGTTAATTTTTGTCTCAATTGTCGAAAATGAAATAAAAAACTGTCACGTCAGCCCCCGGGCTTGTCTTTGCCATCCATGACATCCTGCATAATTGAATACCGATGAATGTTAAGCAGGTTTGTATTTTTTTTGGTAGTTATTCAAGTCCCTGCTCTATTGACACGCGAGCTCTCGCCCCAAGCCCTTCTGTCAAATAGTTGAAAATGTCTGAAGAGGTGCATTGGTGCATTCCACCTAAAGCAACATTTACAAATTTTTTGAAATGATACGCGCATTTTTGAATAATTCAAACCAGTCTGTGAGAGAATGCGAGCAATTTTCAAATGCCATGAGGGTGTTATTTGCAGCGGTTTCGTGCAGGGTGGCACAACTAGAGAAAAAAAAGTGGTAAAAATTCTGCAAGTCACGTAATGTACCTACTTAAGGTTTTCGAAGATTTAATTCGATCAGCGATCGGTTTTTTGCCACCCTTTTGTAACAAGGTGGAGAGAAAGCGCGATTACCAAGAGGGTAGCATGTGGTGATCACGGGAACCGCTTTGTGTCAGAAATTAACAATTTAAATCTGGATTAAATAACTTCACTTCCTTCTAAACTACGTAAGAGAAAAAATCTCAATCTAATCTCCATCAAGCCACTCCAACAAGACACGCAAATATCACACCTCGAAACTGTATCACTGTCATTTTATCCTACTTTAGTTTGCTACCGTATCATTTTTTACGCATTAAAGGATTGTCTAACAAACAATTTTTTGTGAGTGATTAGAACTTTGCTCGTACCATTGAAATTTTTTCCACAACCTACAAATTTTTAAATTATGAGGAACAATTGAATTTGGATGGAAGGAAAAGGTTGGTTGGGTACCTGCCGTACATTTTTTATCCTAATGACTAAACATGCAATTTCGCATTATCTAAGATTTTTTGTCAAAGGGTGTGTAGAGGTGTCGAAGTTGCCTGAGGCGGATTGGAAAAAATAATTGGGGCTAGTTAGAGGGGTTTTCTAGATCCTGTTTGTACTTGGAATTTAAAAATGTTTTCGAATTATCTTGATTCGTTATAACTTAAAAAGTTATGAGAAACTGGATAAAGCAGTAGTTCGAAAACTGAATCACTATAAAGTGTTCAATAATTTTATCCAGTAAGAGAATATTTGATTATTAGTTGTTATTTCTTTTTTAAATTTTTACTTAAAAACAATATTTTTTTGATTTTGTTTGGGTGATTATAATTACAATTATACTTGAGTGTATTGTAACTGTTTTGTAATGCACATTACGTTTTTTTAAATTCTTTTGGTATACATATTGAAAATTATACAGCGTTTACAGTCTTGAAGCTGATATTTAAAGTAGATGATGATACGCACGGTAGAAAAAAATAAAAAGTTATATAAAATAAAAATTTACGTTATATGTATGAAAGAAAATAATTCATATTAGATTATTCGTTTTGGAACTGGTGCTTTGGCTACAAAAATGGGCATTAGTATCAATACCTTATATTTAATCGTAAATCATAATTACGCCAACCATCTTACTAACGGTTGTTTTTTAAAATTTGGCGTCAAAGCTATCTGAATGTTTGATTGTGAACGAACCATCCTATTGAAAGTTATTAATCTGACATAATATTATAGGTATGACACCTCGCTGGGCGTATTAAAAATTGTGGTCCGTTCACAACACACACATATCACCGCCAACTATGACGTCAAATTTAAATAAACACCCGTTATTTTAATATTTGGAATCCATGTCCATAAATTTGGAAAAAAAGAACAAAAAAACAAATGAAATCTACTGGAAACGATGTGTTTAAAAAAAAAATTCCAATTTTGATAAAAACTAAAGCAAAAGCAAATCAAATGATTACAGTGCCAAAATCATGAAGTGGCTTTGGTGCAACTGTCATGGATACGATTTTCGTATATTATTTGTTGTAACAATGTAATTTTATCTTAACAAAGAATTAATGCCAGTGACTCTCAAATAATTGTGTACCAATATTCTAGAGAATCTCTTATTGAGTTATACTATTTCTATTATTATCATGTCAATTTTCAACTCCTAGACCGTAAACATTCTGTATTTATAATTTTTGAACTCCATCAGCTATAAGAAAATCGAAGATATCTGGAGTCAAAGAAAATTTTTGAACTTTCTAAAGTAATAGAGACAAGTAGGCCGTTGTCTGTATTAGTTACACAAGATGGTGCAGATTTTATCTTAGAAGCTCAATAAAAAAATAATAAAATAATCAAGTGAAAAAACAAAATATTAGGTAAAACAGAGAATGTTACAACTTAGTACAAAATTTTATTTCTGTTACTTAATAAGCAAAACAACAACACGGAAATGTCATTTGGTATATCTTTTTTTATTATTTATTGTATAGCTTTTTTTGGATTTGTTCAGAGACATACAGGGTTATTCATAAATATGAAGCAATATTTGAACCTCAAAAATGACCTATAAAATGATGTTAATTTAAATAATAACTCGTGTCCTATCTCTACTGATAAGAATTTTATAGCCCTTGGAATGTGGGTAGGGAAATTTGATTTGTTTGTAATAACTTTGGAACTATTTGACCAAATATTATAAAATTTGGAAAATTTCCCTGTGACAACATACCCTTTGAACTGGTAATCACGAAAACCGGATACATCCACTCAATTTCCGGTTGCAGGTCACATTTTCTGTGTTTTTCCATTTTTTTGCTCTCTTAACACCAATTTTTGATTGCCCAAATAGATAGAGTAATCAATTTCGAATAAAAAACGCAAACCTTTAATACCCCTAAAATGGACCGTTTCAAAGATATTTTAATTTAAACTGAGGACTGCACAACGCTGAAATCACAAAGTAGGAATTTTGAATAAATGATATCCACGGCAACCAATGACCATGGTCACATAAATTCCTACCAGGCATCTGTTAACTTTGACGATAAATTTTTGTGAATTATTCATAAATTAAAAGCTACGAGATCGATTTGGATTTATTGTAGATTACGTTTGGAGTCTGAAGTAAACTCTTTTATTAAATATTTTCAATTAATCGCCCAAGAATGGTCCAATGTCAAAGTTGACAGATGCCTGACAGCGATTTGTGAGACCATGGTTATTCGTTGCCGTGAATATCATTTATTCAAAACCCCTATTTTTTGATTTCAGCGTTGTGCAGTCCTCAGTTTAAATTAAAATATCTTTGAAACGGTCCATTTTAGGGGTATTAAAGGTTATGCGTTTTTTATTCGAAATTGATTACTCTATCTATCTGGGCAATAAAAAATTGATGTTAAGAGAGCAAAAAAATGGAAAAACACAGAAAATGTGACCTGCAACTGCTGGAACCGGAAATTGAGTGGATGTATCCGATTTTCGTGATTATCAGTTCAAAAGGTATGTTGTCACAAGGAAATGTTCCAAATTTTATAATATTGGGCAAATAGTTCCAAAGTTATTACAAAAAAATCAAATTTCCATACCCACATTCCGAGGGCTGTAAAATTCTTATCAGTAGAGATAGGACACGAGTTAATATTTAAATTAACATCATTTTATAGGTCATTTTTGAGGTTCAAATATTGCTTCATATTTATGAATAACCCTGGCGTAGGCATGAAAACTTTTGTGGAAATCCATTTAAAGCTTTGTTTCACTTTTGTGGTAACATTATTACTAACTGTGTATGTAAATCATGTTGCACTTGATTGATTTAATTGGTTTGGTTATAAGAGCGAGCGTAGCGAGCGTGTAAATTTTTGAAAATTTTACCGATTTATTAATCGGTAAAATTAAAAAAAAAATTAATTAATTAATTGAACTGGTTTCAGATTTTTTTTTCTGTAGCAGATGTTACACTATTTCTTTAACAAGACTTTTAAGTAGATAAAGTAGCACTTTCACCGCAAGGGTAGATAAAGTAACACTTTAACAACAAGGGTAGATAAAATGTTTTAACTTATTTTATTGATTTAAATTTACAAATTTTACCATCCACGAGGTGAATAAAGCGTCCGTTTTACAGTCAAACGAATTGAATACAACATTTTATTCTTTGAATTAGGCTCAACAAGGCTTAAACTTGCTTTAAAACTGTTAAAAATCATCTGACGTTTCGTATATTGAGAAATGCTAAAAATTGTATTTTTTTTTTGAAATTGTATTTTTCTCTTAAGTTTTAAGTCCTGCCATAGAAAAAAATTTTGTATTATACACGACGATAAAGACTATTCATCTACTCGTGAAATAAGTCTACTCGTTTGTGAACTTAACCTTTTCACTCGTAGATAAACAATCTCTTTACAAGACGTTGTATAATAAATAACTATTTACCACAACAATTTTTGGAAAATTATGAATTATTTAATGAATTCTTTTTGTTTATTATTAAATCAAGCAATCTAAAGATGACCGATGTACCGATAAAGCTCTTTGAATCTAAAAAGATTCTAAAACAAGTATGTTATAAAAGACTGAACTTTATCTTGATGTTTCTTACAATATGTCATAATTTTTATAACTTTATTTGTAAAAAAACAAATTTACCCGATGTAAATTTTTGATTTTTTGATTGGCCCTATGTTTGTCCCAGTTTTTTGTGTCCACCGATGGTACATTAACCATCAACAAGAGCATTATTTGTGTTATACAGAGTGCCACCCATAACTTTTTTTTTCAAATAAAGATAAACAAAACTACCAGGTGAATAAAAAGTATGGAACCAAACGTTTTTTGCTTAAACTATTTATTTTTTTAAAAAACTAATTGATGAGTGATAAAGTAGTATAAAAATGTGATGTTTTCACAAGAATAAAATTTTTCAAAATTTCCTTTTGTTTTTGAGTTCCACAAAAAAAAAATATTTTTTTAAATGGCAACCCACTATAAAATCATTTTTCTCATAAAAGCTATCCTCTAAGGATTACAACTATCTGCTTTATATTTAATTTTTTCAAAAATTTTTTTTCACATAAATTGCAATTTTGACAAAAAAAATCGCATAACTCAAAAACAAAACAAAATTTCGTTCTGAAAATACGATCACATTTTTTATATTATTTTAATTTATATTAATTATTATTTTTTGGAGGCAAATGATTAAAAATAAAACCGCTTGATTCCATACTTTATATTCACCCTGTAGGTGTGTCAAATGATGCGCGTGGAAAAATAAAAATCGACCTGTTACAGGATTTTTTACAAAAATCGCTTATATTCGATTATGAATTTTATTCCAGTTAAAAATTCCACTCTGTATAACTAAATTATAAGAGTTTCAGTCGTTATCTTTTTTATTTTCCTTAAATCTAATTTTCCAGTAAATTTTAATTCTACTCGTATATTTGCAAATTTTCAAAATCTTATTTTTAATTTATATCGAGCCACCCCGCACCCCAATTAGCCCAATTCCGCTCCCTAATCGCGGTTCTCACGTGCCCCCCTTCCACTCGGACCTACCCTCCGCGTCCCATTGGCCGTCCGGCACGCGCTCAGAGGCGGGGATGCACCCCTTAAAAACCCAGCGCCCATCGTCCTCCTCACAAAACTCGTCAGTGCTCATCAGTGATGGAATCCTCCGAGGCTTACGGCTACCTCTACATGCTCACCCCTCAACAGTCGGACTGGTCGCCCACGTCCAACTACGACAGCTACTCCGAGGAGAGCTACCCGAGCACCAGCCCGGAACCCGGAAAAAAGAGCCGAGTCACACCGCTGGTCCTCCGGAAGAGACGACTCGCCGCCAACGCTCGTGAGAGGCGCCGGATGCAGAACCTCAACCAGGCTTTTGACCGACTCCGGACCTTCCTTCCGCAACTAGGACAAGACCGGCAATTGTCCAAATATGAGACTCTTCAAATGGCCCAGACCTACATCACGGCCCTTTACGACCTTCTGGACCAGCGGCCCCAAAACTGAGGTGACGATTATTCAATTACCATTTCTTGTAGATGCCAAAGTGTAAATAATCTCATATTTTTGTACATAAATGTTGATTAGTTGTTAAGTTGTACAATTAGAATCATTGCCATTGTCAGTATTACTTGATACGCTGTGACCAAAAGTGTTAATTTTTAAGTTTTTTAATCTTAGGGTTAGATGTGCCAATTGTACTACTTTACCGGTTTTTGAATAAAGTATTTTTTATTATAAATTGAGTTTTCTTGGTTGGGACCGGAAATTGGGTTTGTGGTGATTTATTAGTTGCGGATGTGAGTCCTTGTGACGAATTAACACAAAGGACTCAATTCCGGCTTCTGGAGATTTTTTTGATAAGTGCTGGGATTGTCCACTGGCAGGCTTGAAATTAAGAGGTAAGTTCGGTGATTTTGTTTATTTTAGTCGTGAGAGATCGCGGAGATCAGCCGAGTTTGTGGTGATTTCAATGCAAGGTCAAAGCACAGTCATCGAGTTTAAACACTGCAAATTAGGTATTAAATAATAAAACGAAAAATTAAGTCAAATTAATTTATTAATTTAAATTAAACCGAATTGTTTTTTGTACTTTTAATAGAACCAAGAAGTTTTTTTTTCGCCTAACCTATTGCATTAATTTAATAAATAAATAAATAAAATAATTACTTACAAAAACAAATTCTAGCAACCAGAAAGCAAAAAATTATAAATAAAATTTAAAACTAGAAAATATGAAACCTTTGTAATGCGTTTTATTATTATTTTTTATAGGTAAGATTTTGTCCTTTCATAGTGGAAAACGATTTTTTTAAATTTTGAGCCAAGTATTTTTTTTTTAACTTTTTTGGTTTCTAAGTTTAACTTTTAACGTAAAAATTTAACTTTAATTATTGTTACAACATTACTCCCATACTCTCTGTGCTTTGTACAAATAAGTGTATAATTTTAAATGATTTTCCAACAACTTGCTTTTGACTCACTTTATAGAAATCATGGAAAATTATTTATAATCGTCTTGTATAATAATGCATCAAGCAACTTTTAAGACACACTGTACAGAAAAAAAACACAAATTTGTTGTGTACCTGTCAAGTTTTTATGTTTTGTGTAAATTTTGTATTGTTTTGTGTACAAAAGTTTAAAATAGAAATTCAGATGTATTTTTTATCTTTAGTATGAAGAATAATATATTTCTGAGCAAAATTAAGAGACCTCAATATATGTTGTAGCAGTAATTTAGTTAAATTTAGTTACAGTGACATTATAGACAAATGATTTCTATTTTAGATAACTTTGTAATTTAGTTAAACAAATTAAACCAAATTAAAAAATTTGGTTTAATAATTTTATTTAAATATCAAAAAAGAACAGTTACCTTATTTTCCAAATTAATTATACAGGTTGTATTATGAAAAATCCCCCAAATCATAATTCTATTATTTTTAGAGATTCTTGGGACAAAGCTAAACAGTTTCTTGTTATATATTGTTTGGCATAGATGCTCAATCAATATGCTGTTTCCTCTTTTACCGGAAGTGACATTAATTTTAGTTTTTTAAATGTAACACCCTGTATATTTTATTATTTTTGGATTCCTTATTAAATTATCTTTCAATAAGCTCGCTTACTAACTTTTGATTTTAAGCAATTTGAAAAATAAATTAAATAAAAACACTTTAATTCATTTTATCTAAAACAAACAAACGATTGATAACGAAAAACTGTTTAACTTTAAGGAAAAAAGTATCATAACGTCTTTAAAAGTAATGAAATTATGACTTTGGGCGTTTTTTATAATGCAGCCTGTACATAATTAAAATTTAATTCTTTTTTTTTTCAGATCACAGTAGACTGATCTTTACCTTCTTTTGAAATCAAATTCAGTTATACTGTATTACATTTAAAATATACAGGGTAACCCAGAGGTGCGTGCAAGCTCTATAACTTTTTTTCTATCCAAGCTATATCGACTTGATTTTTTTTTAATGGTTGGTCCGATAATGAAGCACATTGTAAAAATATTTTTATGTAATACAGGATATCCCAAAATAAGATACACAACTAAGTTCTGATTTTTTAAATGAAACGCCCAATTTTTGTTACATTTTTAAATCCGCCACAAAATTGTCGATATAACGCATCCTGTTTAGTGGCGAATTCAAAGATGTAACAAAAATTGTGGGTCTTCATTTAAAAAAACAACTTAGTTGTGTATCGTATTTTGGAGGAACATACTGTATTAAATAAAAATATTTTTGAAATAAGCTTCATTATCGGACCTAACATTAAAAAAAAAATCAAGTCGATATAACTTAAATAGAAAAAAAGTTATAGAGCTTGCACGCACCCTGGGTCACTCTGTTTGTATACAATAGTAAGTTATATTATAAGTGATAGAAATGCATCATTATACGCGAGTGAGAATTTTGACCGACGAGTGCGCTTGCGCACGAGTGGGACACTTATCACGAGTTTCATAATGGCATTTCGATCACGTGTGATATACGACGTTTTATCTTACAGGTGCAACTATCCAAAATATGAAGTTTCATTCAGGTAAAATATTCACCTATAAAAATATAATAGTAAATATAATATAATAGTCAATTTTACTCACTTGCGAGTACTTTATCTCACTTGTGAATAATATTTAATTTCTATCACCGAAAACAATGGTTTAAGCTCAAGCTGTAATTTAAAAATACTTACATAAGTAAAGTGTTTTACCTATTAAAAAGACGGTTTTATAATTCCCAGTAAAATCAAATCAAAATTTTATTTCCAAGTTTTATTTTAAACTGATCCAAAATGTATAAAAAAATCAGTAATTTTTGTTTTTACTCTAAATTTTTTTCTCTAAAAAAACAAATTTTGTACCATTTTCTCATTTATTTTATTATTATTTATATATTTTAAAAAATCAAAAGATAACAAAAAAAACACAAAAATAAACGCAACTATTCTTTGGCACCACAAATAACCTAATGTCCACCATATCCAAAATGAGTGGTACCAACGTAACTAGTACCACCATGTCCACCATGTCCACCACGTCCTCCATGCCCATGATGTCCATAATGAGCCGGATGAACAGCGTGTCCAATCCTCTCAACCACCGCATTAAACCCGCCGTGCGGCCCAGCATGGTACTTGACCACGCGAGTGGTACCATCAGCTTCCTTTAAAGTGTACGACCCGGTCACTTCCTTCCCATGTCTGTGTTCCTTCTGCGATTTAACATCACCGGTATGAGGGTCGTGGACGCCGTACTCGAATTGGTAGTACGCTGGGCCCTTTACAAAATAAATAGAAAAAATTTAGTCACTTCAGTAACACTTACATTGTCTTCGTGGTGGTACCCACCAGCCAGGACCACGGTGGCGGTAAACAAAACACAAAATCCGATCTAAAATTAAAAAATATTCTAAATTCTAATTATTTTTTAAATAGGAGGTGGTGGTACCGATAAAGTATTCATGGTGTTTGTGCACACGAACTGATGGTTCTTCAGCTGTGAATTTGTGTTTAAATAGGAAATGGTGGGTGCATTAAATTAGGGGAACTTTTGGAATGCAAGCAAAAAGAAATTGCAACAATTGCAATGATTAAGCAGTTTATTAAGTAAAGTATTGGTGAAAAATAAGGTCGTTTACATAATTATTGCAATTTTGTGACTAATTGCTTGGATGTGGTTGGTTGCAGAATATTGTCTAATTGACATTTTTATTGTTATTAATATTACTTTTTACTATTTTTTTCTTAAACACTTCCTTAGTACCCTCTTATTACTTAATTATTTCAAATGTCACCATATTATATTAACCGTTTCCAGTTGCTACATTTTTTTCTTACTAGTGACATCTGTTACTAATAATTATATGTATATATGCTCCCTAAAGTGGCACCGAAAAATACTGATACATAAGAAAGAAAAGTTTTTCGCCAAATAAATAAAAACAAAAGGTAATTAAGATAAAAGTGCACTCGCGCATATCAACACATTCTAATTAATAAAATTAACAAATTAGAAAATAGCCATTTACGCACCTACTGGAACTAATTTCTCAAAAATTTCAATATTATTCCTTCTTATATAACCGATTAATTGAAAATTAAATATAAATTCTTGCTAAAGACGAGTAATCTTCATTCGTTTCATATGAGTTGAAGACTCAAGACAACATGGAAAAAACAACTGTGGTGAGTACCAAACGTACCTTAAACTATACTCGAACTTTATTATTTTGCAGTTACTTATCATTTTGTCACTTTCATTCACGTGGGCCTTAGCTGGCTTTGCTTCAAGTGAAAATGACGATGTAAGTACTTATATTCCGGTAGTACCAACAATAAATTAATTTTACAGGACTATGGGACATACAAATTTGATTATGGAGTCGAAGACCTTCACACAGGTGACGTTAAATCCCATCATGAGGTACGACTTGGCAAAGAAGTTAGTGGGGTTTATACTGTGCGTGAACCTGATGGTACTGTTCGAGTTGTCAAGTACACTGCCGGACCTCACAAGGGTTTTCAAGCCGAAGTTCATAAAGTGAAACCTTCAGATTTTGGTAGTACTTCCGGTACTTCTGATAGTAGGTTTGGAGGTTTCAGTGGCCAAGGCTTAGGTCTTTTGGGTCAAAATTCATTACAAGGAGGCGCTAGTGAACAAGCAACTGTAGTACTAGTACCTATTGGTCCTAATCAAAACAATAATTATTAAAAATGCCATAATTACTTTTATACATTCCTAGAAAATAAACTTTAAAATAATTTTTGTCGTTTTTATTTGCGTTGAGAAGTGGTACCGAATTATTTTATGATTTATACTATTACGTACATTTAAGAAAAATATTATGCAGCATGTTATTAATAAATTTTTGTACGAGATTTTGTATCACATTCTCTATTTAAATAACATTTTGTTTTTAGGTACCTACCAATAATTTGATTGTTACGTAATGGTACCATACGTACAAATTGTGAGTTGTAATTATTTAAATAACTGTTTTCGTAATTGGAGGTTGTCGTATTTTGTCCCATATGCAGCTGCCCTGATTCATCTCAAAGTTCGGGGACAGTACCCATATGGTACTTACCGGATGTTATGAAAAAAATTAAATTAAGTTAACTAATTGTATCTGGGACCAACAATATGTTTTACGCAAATAAATTAAATATTGAAGAATCGTACGTAGTACTTGTAGTACTTTCACAAATATTAAATCAGAGCAAATTATAATTTAACTAAATTATTTGTATTAAATATTGTTTGGGTACTACATAAAAATTGTTTTTAAAGATAATTATTGCTTTATTTTAATACATTTGGTACAAATCAAACTTAACAAATCAACATTTGCTTTGGTATAACAAAATCACAAGAACCACTAATGTCCGCCATAGCCGAAATGAGTAGTACCAACGTAGCTAGTACCACCATGACCGTAACCCTGACCATGCCCACCATGTCCATGTCCATGTCCGTAATGAGCGGGATGTTGAGCATGACCTATTCTCTTAACAACTGCATTGAACCCACCGTGAGGACCAGCATGGTACTCTACGATACGTGTAGTACCATCAGCTTCCTTCAACGTGTAGCCGCCTTTTACATGTTTGCCGTCTCTATGCTCGTACTGGGATTTTTTATCCCCGGTGTGGGGATCGTGAACGCCGTACTCAAATTTGTAGAATGCTGGGCCCTATAAAAAGCTAAAAATTTGAAAAAACACAAAATTGATACTAACATTGTCTTCCAAATGATGATGACCGGCGAGGGCGACAGCAAACAGGGCAAAAGTGCACAAAATCTGAAAACAGGAAATTAGTGTTTTTTTTAAATTAAATTTTTGGGTGGTACCAGTGAGTTCATGTTGTTTGTTGGATGCAAGTGATTGAATGATGCTAAGTGCTGCACTTGTGCGTTTATATACAAAAATTGGGGATAAGTGTTATATAATGTAATATAGATTTAAGTTTTTGGTTGACCATTTCGTGAAAAATGTGCAATAAATTCTGCATGATTGAGCATTTGAAACAGCTATTGTAGTACCGTTTGGGTACTGTACTTTCATTTGCCCAAACATTTATCCCCTATTGTAAAAACACACAAGTTATTTCTTATTCACACAATTAATCAAACTTAATTAAAATTTAAAAAGTACTACCACCTAATAAAAAGGCTAAAGTACCGTTTGCGTAAATTGTAAGGTCATTTACCGACAATAATTAGTCAAGGATAAATTGCGTTGACCCAAAACAATGAAATATTAATTGCGTAATGAGTTTAGTAATAGTTACGGTACTTGTATCAGTACCAAAATTTTGTAAAAATTTAACCAGGATTCGAACCACTGGTCACTCAAACCCAAGCCAAACCGTGTTATTGATATGTTTTCGTCGATCCCAGCATCACAAATGAAAGTGGTACCCGATCAGGGCTCCGTTTTCCCAATGACAAACCAGCTTGCAATCTGTGAAGGCCTCTATCAGCCGTAAAGACAACGTTCTAATCTAAATAATTTGTCGTAATGTATAAAAGCGCAACAGGTAGTCGCGCCCGATCACTTACATAAGTACCATATTTGTAATAGTATCGATAAAACAATGTTCAAGTTTTTGGTTAGTGTCACGCTTTTGTAACTCCGTCTAACTAATCTAATTGTGTTAAAGGTATGGCACGTGCTGCTACTTGGCGTTTCTTGCGAACTCTTCAACCACGAACTCGGGTACCGTGTCGAATATGCACCGACGTACGACAATTACGTGAGTACCGAAAAAAGTGATTAATTTAAAATAAGCGAGGAATTTCTAGAAACCGCGAGACTATCACTTTAGTTATGCCGTTTCTGACCCTCACACGGGAGATCACAAGTCGCAATGGGAGGTGAAGGAGAATGGGGTAGTACGTGGGGCATATAGTCTACTAGAACCAGATGGTACCACCAGAATTGTTGAGTATATTGCAGACCATGATGGGTTTAGAGCCGTAGTCAAGAAAATAGGTACCGCGATTCATCCCGAACCAGTTATTACAGTACCGGAACAAATAGTACCGGAAGTAGCACATTTTAGGAGTTACGATGGGCAAATTTATAACTACGCAAACTCGGCACCTCTAGTTTTACACAGTGGTCATCAAACCGTTCAGGAAGTACCAGAAATTGTACCCGAATTAAGACCAGTTGAGGCAGTACCACACCCAACTATTGAAGAGCATAGACCGGTACTTACTCACATACATTTGCCTCAACCTCAAATTGAGGTGGAACCAGCACGAAGTTTCGTTCAGGTGCACCATCCTACTGAAATTCCTAAACATGAAGTACCTGAACCCGAAATCAGACCCATTGAGGCAGTACCACTATTCCAACATGAGATCAGAGTTCCGGAACTATCCCAACATGATATTAGACCTAATGAAGTACCAATTGCCCAACAGTATGGAAAAGTCGAAGCAATACCGTTACACCAACACGAAATCAGGGTACCGGAAGTACCACATCACGAAATTAGACCTATTCTTCAAGAACCAATTAGTCAACACTATGGAAAATACGAAGCAGTGTCATTACCCCAACATGAAATCAGGGTACCACATTATGAAATCAAACCACTTCTTCAAGTACCAATTCCCCATCAGTATGGATGTGGGCAAGCGGTACCTTTGCCTCAACATGGAATACGAACGATTGAGCAATACGCTCAGGCACCACATTATGGGAGAGTTGAAGCGGTACCATTACCTTACCATGAAATAAGGGTACCGGAAGTACCCTTAGCACACCAGGAAGTTGAACTCGGTCACAGACGGGTCGAAGAGATTCCACAACATGGAAATGAAATTGGTCAAGGTCAAGTACCATTGGAACCAGTGGGTCCTAGTTACAAAACTACAATTGTTTATGGTTTGACTGGAAATCCAGAAGACGATTCTCGCTACTCTCAACCAGAAGAAAAGTATCACGCGTCGTATTCTGAAAAAGTACCCAAACTAGTACCAGCACCATCCAAGACCCATTCTGACCACAAACGCGAAAGCCCCACCAAAGAAGAATTTTTAATCATTTTTCCAGATCGCTCCAATTAAAAAATTATAAAATTCCCTTATTTTTTTGTAAATAAAATAATTTTAACTAATTTTTGTCTAAATTAAAGGTTTTGTGTCTGTATTTTTGTATTAATATTAGTTTTTCGTTGTATTGTTGACAGATTTCAGCTAAAAGTGTGTAAAATAACACTGATTTCTCTATAAACTAGCGATTAGTTAAGGTGTTAATAATCAGGTGCGAGTCTCAAATCTGACACTAACAATTAAATAGGGCCAAAGGAGGCAAAGGGTTGATGTCTCACTTGAATTTCACGGAAATTATCGGTGTATCATTGTGTTCTGGCAGTTTTAAGGGTGAGTGAGTCGACTGACCTCAATTCGAAACTCTTTATGTATCTAAGTCAATACATTTTAAGTAATAAATTATTACTGAAACTTTTTTAAATTGTTTCCTAGTTTTTGTATACTGCAATTAGAATTACATTCACTTTTCTCATTTAGAGTGTGTGAGTAAACAATTCTATTTTGAAAGGTTAAGGCAAGGACGTTTTGATATTCAGCCGGATTTGAAAGAAAGTGTCGCTATTTTCGAAACTACAATGAGGCAAAAGCGTTTTTTATGCACGTGGAGCATGAAAGTATTAAATTGTTTTAAATACAACACGCTTTGTAGGCTTTCACTACGAATTAATTTAATTTGAATTTGTTATTATTCTATTAATAATTAATTCATAAAAAGTGAAAACTGTGCAGAGTTGCTGCAATAACTGATTAACTTGCAAATGTTCGAAATAACACGAGTCACTTAACAATTTTGTGGGACTTAAAAATACAAAAAGGTAGGTACAAAACACGATCAATTTATACAATATATTGTGAAAAAGCTTAAATACAGTGAGTGGCAAAATTATGGAATAATCTTATTAATACTGAAAATATTTTATCTTGGTAAAAATGCTCGAACAGGTCAATTTTCTTTTTAAAAATACACTATTTTCAACTTTATTTAAAATTTTACACTTTTTGCTTTTTGAGTAATGACGTTATCGACATTTCTTTTTAATGGAAACCTCTATTTTTTTAACCAATTCGATATATTTTTTAATTATCAAAATGACAACACCAAAATATTACTCCTAATTATTACGTAAAAAAATCAATCAATCAAATATCAACAAATTTTAAATCAAGTTAAGAATTTTTATTTTTTAAACGGAAAATTGATCTGTTCGAGCATTTTTGTAAAAACAAAATATTTTCAGTTTTAATAAATAAGATTTTTCTATAATTTTGCAGCTCACTGTACCTATAATTATTTAAGAAAATCTGTATATTGCTATTTCAAGAAATAAAATAAAAAAAATTAAACTCAAAAAACATTTTTGTTAATTCTATAAAATAATATTTTTTAGTTATTGGTTGCCATAAATTTCCTTCTATTTTATAGTGTTTTTTGATGGATATTAAAAGAAAAAAATGACAAAAAGGAACTCCAACAGTTCACCTTCAAACCTGTATTTTTTAGCTAGAATATTTTTGTGTATTATACTTTTTATCATAACATTTTCATAAATATTAGTTAATTTAGAGTTATTTTAATTCCTAACGGAACTGCCCTTGATTAGCTTGCTTCTGTTTCATCCCTTGCATGATTTTCTCGTTGTGTATCTAATTCGGAAGCTAATAAATAACAATCAAACCGAAATAATTTCATCAATCACCCCAAATATTTGTTAATAGGCGTGGCTCTGCGTGCGGAACCGAATATTTTGACCACCCACAGTGATCGTCAACTAGGCATAACGGCAATCCTTTTTTTAATCGATGGATTTTTATCATTGCACACGAGATTTTTTACCTAGCCTTAATTGAGACGAAAAGGCTTCTATCACAATGGCGAATCTGCAGTTATTATGATTGATTATGTTGGAGGAAAATTAAGATGGTATCTCGGGGACGTTTTTTTATAATTTGTCAAAAAACCCATTAATAAACTAGTGCCAATTATCAGGTGGTAGAATCCGCTCGAAATAAATCTGCAAGTTCTTGAAATTGGTAATAAAATAATTGGTAATAAAATAATTCACACTTATCTTGGCGATGTTATCAGTTGAAATGTTAATTATAGTCGTTTTGTGCTCCTGTTTTACCTGGAAACGCACCCCACTGCGCCTAACACCCCAGATAAGCTGTCACCAGTAATGTTAACACGAGCTCGCAATCTGTTGACCAAATATGATCCAAAACGGGGTTGCGAGGGTCGTCTATGGCTTCGCTTCCGTTTTTAATTGCACTTCCTTCGATACCTGCGCAGCAACCCTGTTGAGAGACCACCGGCCTTTTCGATAAAATTCGAAAATATCGTCATTGTACGACTTAATCGAGTGTTTGTTGTTAGGTGACTCTGCAGAAAGAAGAATAAAAAAGAGCTAAACGCTTCTTAATTGCCGCATTGAGAACTTAATTTTTGGCTCATCGGCGAGAAAAATTTCACTCAAAATCGATGCATTGTTGTGGAGTGGTCCTCGAAATCAAATTAGACGAAAGACTCCTGTTTGATCGAGGACTCTTATCCGCTTTCGCCATGAATCAAATCTAATGACTTTGACCGAATTGTGTTTTTTTACAAATTTAAAAAAATACGTGATGCACCCATCACGTCCGGTAGTCTCACGTCCAATCTAATAGCAATTCCCATACTAATCAAGTCTCGATCTCCGAGGTGGTCCCAACCCTCCAAAATGCAATAATTGTACCCCACTGAGCGATATATGGCACTATTACCCCGTGATACCACCCCATTAATTCCACTTCTCGCCTTTATCGACGGAAACCGTCACCTCAAGATCTAATTCCGTTGCGGTTACCCTTTCTTCCGAGAAGTGCAGCCAAGTGCGAAAAATGACGATTTTTGCAATTTCAGGTGTCGGAGTGGAATTTGGAGCGCGGGGAATTTGTGGTCAGGGTTGGGGCGTGGCGAATCCGGGGTGAGATTGCTTTCCGACGCCGGACTACCCCTTGCGAACATCGGTCATTTTGATGGTTTGATGCTCATTATTGCTTGTCAACGAAGAGATTGGCTGAGGGTTGAATACAAAGGCAAATCTGAATTCCAGGCAAGGAATTCCAAATAAAAACAAGTGTCTTGACTTTTTAAATAGCTGAAAATTTCAAGAATCTTTAGTTTTCAATTGGGTGCTCAAATGCTATCTAAATGTAATACGAGAAATTATTAATATAAAAAATATGTTGTATGCCATACCAATTTTTTAACGTTAAAATTTTTCGTATTTACAAAATGCATTAGATTCTGAAAATATACAGGTGCGCCAGAACTCGCGCCCCAGAGAAAAATGCCATATAAGGTAAGACACCAGGAACATGGAAAAAATGTTAAAAAAATGTTATCTATAAAAATTTCGAAGTTATGAGAGTTTAAATTTTGCATTTTGACTCTGTTGAAAAATTAATTTTCCTAGTTTTTTGGCTATAGGCTACTAAAAGAGGAAACAAGGGAGCTGTATCTTAAATTGTAACTCTGTTCAATGTTGTTTGTGGTTTTTATTGGCAAAATTTTTGTCCCTTTACTAAATAATACTATACTACTAAATACTAAATAAAAAAAATAAATATTAAATAATACATATACAAAATCATCAGTATCATTAAATAGATATGAAGAATGTCAAAGGTCAAAAAATAAATGTCAAAATTTTTCGTCATTAATAACGAAACAATGTGCTTTTATTTTTTTTTATAATATCATGTACTCAATTGTAATATCAATGTGATACAAGTATTACAATACACGGATATCAATAAAAGGTTGTAACACGTGTTTTTTAGATAATTTTTTTCTATTTAGCGTTTTTTTAATTGAGTTTGTAATTATATTTGACAGTTAAAATTGATGACATTCAACGTATGCAGTACTCAAATCGCTTTAAAATAGCTCAAATTGCATTAATTTTGATAAAGTTTTCAATTACACAAAATGCTCGTGACACCAAAAAAGAACAAATATATGTTTGTTTCGTCATTAAAAACCAAAAAATCTGCTATAATTTTTTTGTAACATCCTGTAAATGCAAAAAGAGGCTTATTGACTACTTTTTAGTCTACTTTAAAGAAAATAATCTTCATCTTCAAGCTGTCGAAAATGTGGCTTATTTGTAACCGGAGTGAAAGATTTCCTAGGTCCTAAGAGTTAAAATGTCCACAGGGGCGGCCCAACCGAGTCAAATATGAAGTCATTTGAAGCATCTCACACGGTGAAATCACGATTTGTTTATCAATAGTTATGCGAATTATTTAATAATTAAATAATCTCTATTAAAAAAACCTAGAAAAAAGCGAAATAACAAAATTATTACCTAATATTTTGCCACTGTGGTGTATTACGAGTCGGCCATGTGCATGGATGACATATGTCAAAATCAAAAATAGTACGATGGCCATTCAATGTCAAAAACTAAACAAAGTCCAAATTTCCGTTTCTTTATGATAAAATAGTATTTATTATTCAGAATATCAGATCTTCTCGATTCGTTCGTCTTTCTCTTACGTCAGGTAACCCTATTGATTGCACTGTTTCAACTTATGGACTTTGCAATGCTGCGTAAAATTATTGTTATACTGTAAACTACATATTTAAACTTCATATTTCAAAACTTTATGTTCGGTTACATGACGAAAGTGGATTTTTAAGACGATATTTTTACAATGTACGGAACAGGTTAGGGCTAGCACCAGTTTATGTACCATAAATGAATTATTTCTCTAATTTTAAAATAAATGTAATTAATAATTAAAGTTATGGCTTTTATAGTAACTCTTTTGAATCGTTATTTATATGAATCCTGACATTTCTTTAATAGTCTTTTTGCAAATATTGAAGACTCTTGACTTTAAATTTAGTTAGTATAGGCTCCAGTTATAACTCAGACTCTTTTATTACACAGAAATCAAATAATCTGACAAATTTTATTGCAAAAAATGCAGTTTTAGATAGAAAAATCACGAAGTGTAGGTACAAAAATTCTTTAATTCACAATCATCAAATTACCTTGGATGTGAAACGTTGTAAAGTATGACATTTCAACTTTATTTAACAATAATTGA